TCAGACTTCAGACTCTTCCTGGGCCCAGGGGACCCACTTCCTTCCTCACAATAGTATTTTCCCTTATCTAGATGATGTCTCTCAGAGAGGCTATTCTTTTGCTGCCTATTATTCTGCCATCTTCCTGGAAAATGTGTCTGTATTCTCTAATTTGCATGGAACTCTTTTGCAAGTACCTCTAAAACTATAACTCCTGTCTCTGCTTGGACTGCCGTAATGAAATACTATACACCAGGTGGCTCAAGCAATAGAAATTTCTGGAGGCCGATAAGTCTAAGATCAAGGTGATGGCTGATCAAGTTTTTGGGGAGGGCTTATATATCTTCTTGTTGCAAGCTTTCTGGTGTCATATAACTGCACTAATTCCATTATTAGGGCTCCACACTCATGATATCATCTACACCAAATTACTTTTCAAATGTTCCACCTCCAAATACCATCACATTCCATTTTAGAGCACATGAAATTTAGGGGGATAGAAACATGCATTCCCTAACAATTTCCATGGCGCCATTCGCTTTAAATCATATGGTTTTCCTTGAACTTCGGTGTTTTCACTTTCTCCAGTCTGATTTCCTGCTGCCCCTCAGGCTGTGCCCTCTCCCTGGGGAGACCTACAGCTCACTCTTATCCAGAAATACCTAGACATTTGTTCCTTTATCTCTTAGAGAGTAATTAACTTTCCCCTACAAGCCTGCACACAATTGGAAAATAAACACTGCTAGTACTTTGCCCAATATTTATCCTCTCCTCTTGTTTGGCTAAGAATATGCCCATCTATACAGCAATATTTTGCAGTCTCTTTTGCAGTGTGAGTTGCCCAAGTGGCCCCATGAAATAATTCCTCTTGGTGAGATGTAAGTAGAAGTTCCTGGTTGGGGCTTCTGAGAAAATGCTTTAAACATGAGTTCGTTGGGCCTGCCTCTCGACTCTTGCTACAGATGAAGCACAGGTGCGAAAATGGAGCAGCTATCATTCTGCAATGGAAACCGTATCAGAATATCAAGGCTAAAAGTTGGGAAGAGTCTGGGAATCTCATGGCATGAGAGAGCCGCTTTGCCAGACAACGACAGCCTACTTCTGGACTTCTTATCATGAAATAAAAATAAAAGTCTCACCTGACTTACAGTGCTCGTAGTGTGGGATAAATGTCACAAGATTGTTACAAAGTTTTATTCCTTGCCCCAGAAACTTGGCATAGCAGATATAATGGGTGAGGGAATCTGCAGTTTTAGCCAGTTCTTCTGCTCATTTTGTGATGGTAATTCTTGAATCAGAGTTTGAAGTAATCTGAGGCACACAGATCTGGAAATTAGCTGAGGGGTGTGTGTGTGTGTGTGTGTGTGTGTGTGTGTGTGTGTGTGTGTGTGTGTATTGTGTAACAGAGGGCATCAAGACTCTGGATTTAGTTTTCAAATGCCCACCAAAGATTTGAGAGCAGCGGACATCAAACAGGAAAACACTGTGATCAGCTAATTGCAATTTAGTGATAGCAAGTGTCTCCTTCCAAATGGGAAGCTCATGGAGGCTCCCATTTTAAGGAGGAGGAAAGAAGAATAAATGTTTAATTAAGTTATTCAAGGTTACAGAGTCAGTTAGGAGTGGGAGAGCCTCACTCTGGTATGGAAGAGCAGAAACCAAAAGCAGCCCAAGTGCCTGCCATCCCCGTGCAGCGCTCACCTCAGCCTGGGGCTCTTTCCTTCCAGACCTCTTTTTACATGCAAGAAATATGAACTTTCATCTTCAATCTTACTGACTTGGGTTTTCTTTGGCATGCAGCTCATCTCAGTGTGTACATATACAACACTCAGACTAGTTTGATAGGAGGACACTTGGGATTTCTATTTGCTGATAGTGGGGATAAACAACTTTCTGTCCTCTCCTGCTGCCCATCCCATAATGCAGACAGGCTGCTGCTTGCAGACATGGAAGGTATGTCTTGAAATACGTGGACCTGGACCAAGGGTAGTGGTAGCAGCAGTTCCTGGAAACTTTTAGAGATGAAAGTTCTTGGCCCTTATCCCACATCTACTAAATCAGTAATCTGTTTTAATAAGCACTATAGGTGATTCAGAAGATTCTAAAGTTTGAGAACCACAAATTTATGGAAATCTATAGAATAATAAAAAGCTAGAGCCCCTGATCAAACTATGCCTGAACTTTTCTTCTGAACTTCTTCAGCTATGTTAAGACAATACTTCTTGTTAAGACTAGTTTCCGTTATCATAAATATATTCCATGATGTCGCTGTTGTTCAGACATTATCGTAACAGCTCATAAAATATCACCGAGAAATATTTTGTTCCCTGTACCCTTGAGAGGTATTTAAGTAATAATGACATAAACATTTGTCCCTAAGTCAAAAAAAGAGATTCAATTAATGTCTTAGTTAGGTAATATTTTCAGAGGCTTTGTCCAGACTTCCAAAACTTTCTTCTGGGAGATTGAAACATGAATTTCCAATGCATAGGAGCACACACACAGCTTTTATTTTGTACTCTACTGGAGTGCTCACATGCAAGCACCTGGAAACCCAAATTCTCTAGTTTTGCTCTATGATAAACACAACAGGCCTCCTCTGCTTTGCCCATCCCAGTGTCACTTCATCTGCAGGCAGTGGATGACATCCACCTGGGTTTACCTGCTGTTTCTCAAGCTCCAAATAGGGTGTTGCCTGCCTTAAGTCTTCCTTAATGGGGGCTGCTCATGTACACACGTGCTTACATGTGTGACCAGACTCTGAGCTCTGCTCCTCACTGCTCATGGGAAACACAAGGCTGACATTCTGGGGATCAGATGCAGCTGGGGTGGGAAAATCAGGCTCCTCAGGAGTAATGGAAGAAACCCTGTTTTATTGTGGAGAACATGTTGAGCTAAGTACGCAATTGGGAACCTGAAGAATCACAACAAGTGACTATCTCTTCCTTATTACCAAGTGTTTACATTTCTATTTACGAAGATACTCCAGTACTCCTATGAAGAAACAAAGGTAAACAGCCTCCTCAAAGTCACTCAGTTCAGAGAGTAGATTTGAATCCAACCTTCTAAGATGGTAAGGTTAGAAACTCAATGCAAAAAAGGAAATTACTGATCCCAGGAGTGGATTTCAGGGACAGTAGAGAGTAGGTGGGCAGATTGTATGTCCTCTGGCCTTCTTCTGTGTTGCATTCTTACACAGGCTCGCCCTGTGTGATGAGATAGTGGACATTATCACGACTGGGGCTCCCTCACCTGAGTTTATGGTCCCAGCAAAAGAGTAGACTTGTCTTTTTTAAAAAAATTGTAGTAAAAATTCCAACACTATGCTTTTGGCCAAATTTAAGCCATATCCCCAGCTCTGAAGTAATCATTGTACTCTGATTAGAGACCTGAGTCATGTGTCCACCACTAAAAATGGAGCAGTGGGGGACCCATCTCTCTTCCCTAAATCAAGGACAAGGTAGATTTACTGTCAAAGAGGGGGAAAGATGGTTCACAAGGATGCAGGGTAAACCAAACAACCTGTACCATCATAATGTATTCCTTGCTGTTTGATAAATGCCCTCATAATGTATTATATCCTCTACCATTGAGATATCTTCGGATGCAAGTGTAACTGGCTTAAAAAAAAAACCCTTATCGTATGTGTCTGAGAGGGCTATTTCCCCCTTGGTGGGGGAGATGGGAGCTTCTAGACTGGTTGGCTCAAAGGCATGTGTTGTCAAGAGATAGTGGCTAGGATAAGATAGGAAGGACCATCACACAGTGGATCTTAGAATCAAAATTCCTTCTTATAGGACAAGCCAGAAAGCGCCAGAAGATTGCTTGGGCATGGATACTTGAAAGACTATAGCTGTCTCCTGAATTCTTTATAGGAGTCGCTTCATTTTGGTAGAAAAAAGGAATGCTGGTGGTCCATAGCCTATATAAAGTCACTTAAGCCGAGTTCTCTATATAGAAAACATGGCCTCGTTTGGTAACAGAATTTTACTTGCCTTTCCCATTCCAACCCTCACCACTCACATCACATGCCTTGAGACGGTTCTGATAGATGATACAAACATTGCTGCGTAAGAAATACCTACTCACAACCTTCTGCACCAAATTGGCATATATGTTGCAACAGCCTTGCCAGTTTCATCCCCATCTATGAATTTTGCTCGCAGCCTGTGGCCTGGGTGCCCTGCCCACTCCTTCCTCACAATACTGCTCTGCCTCAGGCCCAGACCCAAGCCTGCTTTCATGATGCAGCCTGGCCCAAGGCCTGTAGCTCCCTGGGGCTGTTTTTCATTTTAGACCCCTGGGACATCCGTAGTCGGCTTGGGAGCTGATTGCCAGTACTTGCAATGTAGTTTCAGCAGGACTTTGTTTATTGCCTTTTCAGGCAAGCTATGTCCAGAGTTCCCCTTTCACAGGGCAGGTCAGGAAGGACAACTTGCCAGACCATGTAAGGGTTGGGATGAGTTGGAGCCAGCCTGGGAACATGCACCACACACCATAATTCTTGTGCTCACAAAACATCCTTGGAAGATAAGCAGCAGCGTATCAGCAAGTGCTTATTTCTGTGGGAGGGCCCCAAGACAAGAAATCTTTCAAATGCAGACTGCTGGGCACCACAGATCCTAAATGCAGAAGCTAGACCAAGGGAGGCGAGGGATTAGCATTGTCAGGCAACCATTAGGCAACAGAAGGGAAAGGTGAGAAGGTGAACTTCATTATATCCACAGTGAACCAAATCACGTCAGCTGGGGCCAGGGCTGAGTGTCGTCATGGGGACATGACAGCGACAGTGACCAGCTTCAGACCATCACCCATACTTGCAGCTGTTAGGTTCTCAGGGTTTATTTCCATTTTCCTTTTCTCCCGCCCAGTCCCTTCCCTAGGGATTTGCATGTGTTGCTCCCACTGTCACTGTCCCCACCAGCTTCCAGAGAACACAGCTTGTCTAAAGACAAGGCGAGAGGGTCTGACAAAAGAGAAAGGAGAGGATAAATGAGGCAGAAACTTTAAGAATACACACAGGCTTTTGATAAGAATTTTATTTATTAAAAAGGAGGGAAGAATTCAGAGTATTAAAATAATCCTCTAATCTCTGTATTGGAGGAAAAAGACACGATGGCAAAATAATTCATATAAAAATTTCAAGCATAATAGCTGTAAATATTCCTCCTGCTCATTGGGAACATCTTAACCTGTACTCAGGTTCCAACTGCACCACAGGTAGGCGCCTCTCCTGGATGGGGACAGCCTGCTGATGTCTGGAATGCTTATTTACCAATGCCACCAATCACAGAAAAGGCCAATCTTCCCATTTGAACTAATTCATACATTTCTGTCCCTGTTTCTGATGAGAATGCTAGAAAGAGCTGCTCCTTGTTTTAAATCTCAGCTCCTCCTGTTTGAAGAGGATTATGTGTAGAAGCAATGGAACACTGAAAGACTGACTTCCTAGGCATGATGGTTCTGTTACCGACCACGTGCCAAGGGACACTTTGCCTCACAAAAGCAGCCAGGATTATTCTCTTGCCTTTTATGAGAGAAAGCTGCAGCTTTGCTTCTATCACTGAATACAGCTGGACTGAGCAAATCGAAGTCCCTATCCATAAGAGTAATTTTCTTACTAAAAGAGTAGAATGGGATATGCATATTATCCAAGACCAACAGTATCAACTGAGCACTCCAGATTTGCAGAGGTTAATTCTACTACCCTAATGTACCCCAGATGTACTTTTCAACAGGTAGACCCTTACAGGAAGTAGAAAAAAAAAAAAAAAAAAACACGTGGCTTCTCCCCACAGGTCCTTGGGACTAGTATAAATGGGAAGATTCTTGTAACATCCTGGGTTTGCTGGCACTTTTCAATTGGTGTTTCTCTGGGGAACAGGGAGGTTCTCATGAAGATATTTTAAACTGCCATGTTCTGAGAAGTCTGAGACCACATGGTCCTGTCCTCGAAGCAGCCATTTGGTAGTAAGGAGTCCTTCAAGTCCCACTGGTCCCCTGGCATGGATTCGTGATGTGCTGATTCCCACTTCAGCTCCTACAAAAAAGTATGCATAAAGATGTGGCTTTTCTCACGTCTGCTTGCTGACCTTTCATCAGGCCCATGTTACTTCATTTTCCTCACTGGGAACCCTCCTTCCCCCACCAACTTCTGACCCATGCTCTCAGGCCAGCTGGAGTCCCACCATCCCAGTAAGTGCATTCCCTAGTCACTGCACATCATGGTGGACCACCTTCCTCTGAAATGTGTTGGTCTCTGTACTTTATTCCAGTACGTTCTACCAGTCTAAAAAAACTGTCTCTGGAATCAGTTTAGCATCTGAATTGTACACCATATTTGATATTTGGGCATGTTCTGAGGCGTACAGCAAAGTACAACACAGATGTTTCATCTCCCTAAATATTCTTGAAGTCCTAGAAGGAAAGAAATATGTTCTTAGTATCCTCCAGAAATCTGAGTACATAAGCACTCATGAGATAGTTACTGATTACAAGATAAGTTACTATTAATTTCCCTTCTTCCTACATATTCTCAGCTTAGACCCTGAAGATAGCAGGTTTTCCTGGTTCTGATTCTATGTTTTGCACTGTATTCAGTGGAGGCCAGGTTTTCTCATTCATCACTATTTTACTAAACAGGTACTATATACCGGCACCATACTGGGCCCTGGGAATAAAGTGATGAATAACAGACATAGGGCTCTGTTTTTGTGGAACTAAGACCTGGTTGGCAAGGGAGCTCAGGACAGCTCAATGAATATCACATGTGCTTGAGTGCAGTGAGGTGTACTAGACAGGAAATGGGGGGCAGAGCTGGTCCTCATTATCCAGATCACCAGAGAAAGCCTCCCTAAGAAGATGCCTTTGGGCAGGAACCCAAACCATAAGAGTAAGCAGGCTGGGGAGGAGAGTAAGGAGAGGTATTACATGCAGACAATGCATCTGGGGTAGTGGAGGCAGACAAAGTGGATCACTAGGGCCCATTCTGGCTCAAGAATGCACAGGCTATGGGACTCTGGGCACATTACCTAACTACTCTCATATTTCAGTTTTTTTCAGTTGAAAAATGAAGAAAACACAAGATTGTCTTTTGTAGAACTAAGTAATACAATATGTCTAGCACAGTGGCAGACATGTAATAAATGCTCAGTAAATAAATATCTGTCACTGTCACTTACATAGTTCACAGAAACAAAACTCAGCCAGAATTTGGGCTTTTCCTCTATACTCATGCTAGGACAGTGAGGAAAATCCCACCTGGATTTTCAGTTGCATTCTGGGGAAATCATCCCCTCAGAGTATGCAGTTATTTCTTTTTTAAGAACATAGAGAAGAAAGATCAGTACAAGTGATGTGATAATTAAACCTCAACATGACAGAAATGGGAACTAAAAATAAAGAATCTGATGACTAAGAATAACTAATTAAAATTCCCTTCAATAACTTTTAACAATTCAGTGAGAACCATTTCCACAGGAAGATCATCTATTTAAAAAGTTGAAGGGGATTAAAATATTTTAAGTGCTTGAAATAAAAACTCTCAAATATTCAGAAAATGTACTATAAATGTCCTATTGGAGTTCTGTATAATGGTATCCCTAAAAGCCAGAGACTCACTCGTTATAGACAGCAGACTTTATATATAATGGAAAGGGAGAGAAAGGTATCTTTCCAAGGATTTTTATTTCAAAGTCTGCTGTACCTTGCGCCTCTGATCTTACCTGTTTTTGTTTGTTTTGGTGCTGGTGATTCAATGAGGGCCTTGTGCATACTGAGCACATGTTTTTCTACTAGGTCCTGACCTACTTACTCTTTAGGCCAGTCTGTAGGCCCTGTGCAAGTCAGTACCAATACTTTCTCTTATCCTATTTTGTGGTTACTACCTCTGAAGCACTTGACTGAGTCAGTCAAAGTGGTAAGGCCCAGAGGCAGTGCTCTGGAAGGTCTGCGGTGTGTGCACCACGCGTGGCCTGTACTTTGGTGGGGGCAACCAAGCTTTGACTGCATATGGCCAGGCCTGAACACCAGAAAATCACGCTGTTTCTTCCTCAGTTTCCCCATCTATGAAAAAGGGAAATGAGTACTTCACTTTGTAACATGTAAAATGCGGGCAGAAGATGTTCGCCATCTCAGAAGATGTTTACTGGCCAGCATTCTAATTTCTCAACCTTGCTACAAGGTCTGTTATCTTGATCACATATGTGACAGTAAAAAGGAAGGCTCTCCTCCACCTCGCCACAATCCCTAGACCACACAGTGATGCACACAGGTCTCCTTCTTCCTTTAACCAGTCTTACCAAGTCCGAAACGGTAGCCATCAGAGAAACGTGTGCTGGCATTCCAGAACACACAGGCACTGTCAACGTGCTGGAGGAAGAATTCTGCTGTTTTCTCTGTAGGGTAAAAGAAAGAGAAACAGAGTTAGGAGAACCCTATGAAGAAAACCCATGCTTTTGGTACTCCCTGGTGACAGATCGAGGCAGGATTCAGGCACCCAGGAAGCCTCCCTGGATGTTCTTCTCATTTTTTAAACATGCAGGCTTTTGAAAGTTCTGAAAAGGAAGACAGAAGACCAGTGCCATCAGTCACAGTGGTCTGGAAAGCCTGGGTTGGAATCCGTGTCTGCCAGAACCGTGCCTCAGTGCTGTGTAGCTTGTCCACACTCCTTGCTGGTGGGCTTTGTGGAGCCAGATGGGTTGGAACCATAAAAGTTCATTCGTATAAGCTGAAAGAGCTTAGGCAGTAGTTTGACCGGCTCTGAGCCGAGTGAAAAGGGAAAGTACATGACCTAGTTCACCGGTGTGGCAAGGCTAAAGCAAAGTGGCACCTAAGAACACTCATCTCAGGGCCCGAAGTGTGTCACATGGCTTCCCTCACCATTGGTCTCTGTGGCCTGACACCTGGAAGTGTTCCTCTCAGCAGGTTATCTGTGGAACGAATTAATGCATGTACAGAGCTGGTTCCGTCCTTAACCTCTGGGGCCTCAGCTTCCTTACTGTAAAATGGGTTTCTTTGAACTGGTTGGCAGGGGAACTGTGTGAATTAAATGAAAACCCCCACCTCAGGTACACTGATTTTAAATGGGTGCTAGTTATTCTTAGGCATCCCTCCTTTCCCTCCCTAGTGGACCTGTGTAACACAATTACAAGGTAACAGATGAGGAAGCATTCGCCAAAACCTCCTGAGGTAGCTGGCACTAGTTTATCTAGACTGTTTTCCTGCAAGTCCACAGGGGCTGAGAGGAACAGGAGCACCTACAGATCAAAGCAGACAAGGCGGACCCCACGTACATGAAGCCCCCGCACACTGACCATTCTCTGTGACGATGACATCCGTGTGGGAGCTGCCGTACTTGTGGATGTGGTCAATGGCCTCCTGGACACTGTCCACCACTTCAATGCACAATTCCAGGTCCCCATACTCTATTCGGAGTGACTTCACTTCTGAGGGACTGAAGGTCAGATAGGAGGCAAACTTGGGGCCAGCATGAATTTTTACCTGAACAAAGGAAGCCCAGAGACCACAACATAAAAAAACAAAAGCAAGCAAGCATTAGATCAAACAGTAAGATGAGACTGTCTGCACCGTGGAGAAGTTTAGGCTGGTTTCTGAAATAAGCAGTACTTAATGTTCTTTTAGTAAAAACTGTGCTTACCTGACAGATTCCGATTGTGTCAGTCTCACCTTCAAGCTCTTGCACAAACCTTGTAAAGATCCTAGGCTGTCCACTGTGAGGCCCAGTCACAAATCTGGTTCTACTTAGGCCATGTTCTCATTTTCATCACCCTGGGACAGGGTGCATGGCTTGACACTTTGGAGCCAAGCTCTTGCTTTGGCTCCAGTTACAAGTGATGTCTGTCTTGTCCTCACTGTTCCTGAGGTGCTACTATGGTTTCCTATCTGGTACTCTTTTCCTCCAGAACTGGGGGGCTGCAACCTCATTTATAATCAGTTTACTTCTATACAGATACATGCTGCATGAAACATATACTGACTCACTTGGTCTGAGCCCTTTTAAGGTGACTCACATTTAATGGTTGAAGATATTACGGGTTTAATCACTAGCAGGTCTCACTTCTGGCCAAAGAAGTTTTCCTCCTGTCTAGTCCAGTTCATTGTGCCTGCCACCTTATCAAATGGACCACCAGTGTAAAGGACTCGAACATGAATGGTCAGGTAGTCTAACTCCCTTTTATTTTGTAGGGCACATTATCATTTTCAAAACAATTCTCTGGGACCATATCACATTTATAAGTAAACTGAAGCCTTTTATTTGAGAAGAAGGATGAAAGGACAGAGATGTCAGGGTCAAAGCAACATGGCCAGAGGACCCCTTTCCTATTATTGGGCTGGCCTGTATGATTCTAACAGAGTACCATGACATCAGCTGTCAAAACTGGCGAGGAATCTATGCAGGAAGCTTAACAGATTGTTCACTTTGCCTTGAGAGCTTCTACCACCTTCCAATCCTAAATGTAGGACACGGAACACAATTACACTTGAAACTTACTGGCTTTTGTTTATAGCCTCAAAGACATATTTCAACCTAGTCCAGAAAGGACAAATATACAAATATCTGACCCAAACATCACTATACAGTATTAAGTATAATAATATTGGATAACTGAAGATATTTGGGGAAAGGAGTAAATACATGTAAGTTTATAATTTGAAAACAATTCTGCACAAGTTTTTCAAATAAATCCAAAAAGGAAAGTGTGCTTGGAAACACAAACTTTAAACTCTGTTGCCTGAATAAAACTCTGCCAGAAACTACTCAGTATGCTGCCACACCCTATCAGCCCAAAAGACTGCACTTTTTAATGCAGCTACCTGTGCATCCGTCTGGACTATACACTAGTGCCAGAGGGCAGGGGCTGTACTTTATGTCTGTGTTTAGCACAGCACTTTATACACTGTACATGCTCCAAACCATTGTTTTCAGAATTGCCTTAAACACAATGATAGCTGCTCCTAGCCTAATCCCACAGACAGGATATACAGCAATGCCTTAGGTCTGCGGGTCAGTCTTACCTGTTCCACTCTCAGCATATCAATGATCTGGTCAAATAATGATGTTCTCAGAAGATCCCGGTGGATTAATAAAGTCTCCAAAGCATTACAGGCAGCTGGATATTCACATTTAGAGTCTCTGACTGAAAAAAAGCAAAGAATTATTTTTGTGCACATGATCCAAAGGCACAGATGACTTAACAGTTATCTCACGCTCGTTACGCAGGCTACTCATCCAGCTCACCAAGTCGGGTGACCTTATCGACGCTGGCCTCTGAATCCACATACATGTGGCAGATCCCTTCACTGTGCCCCATCACTGGAATCCCCTTAGCTGCTTTCTGGATGTTTCTGACCAGCTGGGAAGAGCCACGTGGAATGATCAGATCTATCATTTTGTCTAGGCGGCAAAGATCTTCAACTTCTTCTCTGGTATTCACCTAAACAGGGAAAAAATAGAAAGATAAAGATATCTTCTGGCCACATAAAATACAGAAACAGCCAAATCCCGTATATAAAGGTCTGCACGTCTTGAGAATGAGGTCAGCACTGTAAAGTTTATTGTGGAAATGAGATTAAATTCCTGATCATGGGAATTGAAACATCCAGCAAATTCTGATTAAGTTCTACCCACTTATGCAGTGTTAGGAAACACGCAGGACACAATCCTTACCCTCAAAGAGGTGAGCAGGGAATGCAGAAGTAGGACACAATTACCTGTAACACAGGGAAGATTATTTCTTAAAAGGAAGTACAAGTGCAATCTGTGAAAGTTACAGGTGGCAAGATGATGCCAGGCTATGAGGATCACCAAAAAAAGTGGTTGCTTTGTTGGTTCCCTAGTTGCAGCCTTGAGGAAGGGTTCGGTCTTGCTAGGAAGTCTTGGTTCTCCAGACTTCAGACAACAATCTTTATTTGGGGATGTTGACTAGATTGACTATGAAGTGCTTGTGTTAGAACACAGAGAGAACAGGTATTTTGTTTCCATTCTTGAACTTGTCTTCCATATGGTTAAGTCACCTATGACTCAGTTATAAATGCACACATGCCAGAATGGTCATGGAGACTTTATTTGCGGTAGCTGAAAGCTGGAAATGACCCAAATATTCATCATAAAAAGAAAGTAAATGTAATAATATATGGCAAATAAAAGGGGGGGAACCATACCTAGATGCAAGAATGTGGATGAAAGTCACAGATAATGATGAATAAAAGACATGAAAGTGAATTCTGGATGAATTGATTTATATAAAGTTCAAGAACAGGTAAAAGTGAATATAACAAAAGTCAAAGCCAAAGTGGTTACCTTGTGCTAAGAGTAGGGCATAATAATTGGGAAGGGTAAAAAGGAGCCTCTGGGATCTTGGGAAAGTGCTCTATTTTGTCATGGCTGGTGGTCACATGTGTGTATATGGACAAAGTCACAGTTTTTTATACAGGACCTGTATAGACCGCTATATTCATGTTACACATCAAAAGGAAGAAAGGGAGAGAAGGAAGGCAGAAAGAAGGAACCCATCGAATCTGAGCTGAGCTAGAGCTGAGATTTAAATCCCCCAAATCTGTGTTCCTCCCATGTGCTATGCTGCCATAAATAAACCAAATTCAGATTCTTATCACTGAGCGTATTTCAGTAGTCTGCAGATATCCTCCCAGCAGCCACTAGAATCCTCAGATGCTGGAGTGAGGAGGCCTTGTTGGAAAGAGATACAGATTTGATGGTGGTTTAGATCCAAATATAAACTCTACCACAGATTACATAACCTTGAGTGAGTACCACAGTCTGCTTTGTTCCGATTTAGAAAGTGGTCCTAATAACTAGTGGTATTTTCTTCATGTGGTTAGGATTAAACAAGGTAATGGAAGAAATGTGTCTGCTATGCAGCAGGTGCTCAGTTAACTGTAGCTAGTGTCATCAAACATCATTTGACAGTTGAGGAAAATGAGAAAATAGTCAGTTACCATAATGACTATGAACTAGGAATGGTGGCAAACGCTTATCATCTTGGCTGCAGGAGAGTGAGGAAGATCACAAGTTCAAGCCCACTCTGCCCCTCTCCATTTTGGCCACTGTGGGGAGCAGCATGCTGAGCCGCATCTGCAAGGAACTGCTTGCTCCCAAATGAGCAACTGGGTACCTTAGTTACATCCTATCTCAAAATAGAAAATAAAAAGTGCTGGGAAAGTAGCTCAGTGTGAAGGCTCAGTGTCAATCTCTAGTATCAAACAGTAACAACACACTCACCAAACCAGGATAGTAATAATGCAAACAGCATTATCTCACTCTTACAGGGGTCAGGACGGTTAATGACAAACTTCCTTAAAACGTATTTCATCTGACTTATCCTAAATCATTCTACCAATGAGAATAATCAAGACTCTCTTACTCTGTGTTTGTCTGTCTGTCTATGTCTCTTAGAGAGGGCCTCATTATGCAGTTCAGCCTGGCCTTGAACTCACCATGTAGCTAGGACTGGCCTTGAAAGCATGGCAATCCTCCTGCCTCAGCCTGCTGAGTGCTGGAATTACAGGTGTGTGTCACCATGCCTACCTCTAACTGACAGTCTTTAAATCACAGTGTGTTTTACAGGCATGGCCTTTTGAAGCTATCATATGGCTCTGTTGAATGGCCTAATGTCCACAAGTTCATGACACCTAACACCACCCTGACCAAGTCTGCTTGTCCAAGTGTCTTGGCCCCTCATGGCCTAAATTTTGCTTCAAACTCCCAAAAATCTGACCTGGGCCTCCATGGGCCTGATTTGGCTCCTTGACAGGGACCTACCAGCTGTACTGCCTCCTTTACTCCGTGGATCGCAAGGGCTTCCTGTGTCAGGAGATGAAGAATCCGGTTGCTGTTTGCAGCCTCCTTCCCACCCTTGAGTAACAATCCATTGCCAGTTGCAATAGCCAATGCTGCCACCTGCAGATCAAAGGGAGAACAATGGGTCACAGGGAAAAACAAGGAAAATTATCACGTTGGCATTTATTGAGTACTTTAAGGATTATGCTATTTGATAGCACTTCATACTGAAGCCCAGGAGGCTGGTAACTCCCCAGGCTATAGAGCATATAAATAGAAGGGCTGGGAGCTGTATTGAGGTGGTTTCCCTCCACAGCCAATCCACCTGGACCTTAGGCACTGAACTTCATAACTTCCTTACCACTGTCAGCAATGCAGCTTGAGTTCTGTGGCCAGGGACACACAGCCACTCTCTCCACTTTGGCCACTGTGGAGAACACGGTGCTCAGCTGCCTCTGCAGGACTGCTTCCTCCATGGGGCTCGGGCTCGGGTGAGTGGCTCTCTGGCCACATCATTCTCTGCTCTTGGAACTGCTCTGAGAACTCTAAAGGCCTTGTGCTAAGAGCCTGGAGTGAACCACAGCTTCTGCCAGCCCCAACAACAATGGTACAGACAGCTGGGAAAGGAGCACATGCTGTATGAGAGATGGTTGGGCTTGGAAAAGGGTTAGCTACCCTGTTAAAGCAGAGGCAGTGAAGAGACAGTAACCTAATCATCCTAAACATGAGGAAAAATTTTCTAAGTGGGACGAATGGAAATCCTTCTGCTTTTGCAACATAGGGAGAGACTTTTCACCATAAAACCTTGTGGGTATTACTCTCCAAATTAGCAGTTTTGTTGTTTTGTTTTGTCTTTGTGATGATGGGAATTAAATCTCAGGGCCCAGCCTTAGCACTGAGATATATAAGCAGACCTTCTTTATTATTATTATTTTATTTATTTATTTAGTGCCAGGATCTCACTAAATTAAATCCACAGGGCTGGGTTAAAACTTTGTATCTTCATGCCTCAACCTCTCACAGTCCTGGGATTACAGGCATGTGCCACTGCACCCAGTGTCAAATTAATTTTTTAAGCCTTCTCTGTTTTTTTTAAAATCATTTCTTGTTTGCTTATGTTACTCATAGACCCCTTATAAAAGTTATATAAACTTTCCCCAGATAAATGCAGGCACACAGCATTTGGCATCCAAGTTTTAGGATTTGTGGATTCTGTGTTGCTATGCTGAGTTAAGGTCCCAAGGAAGAAGCCTCAGCTAGAGGTGGGATGATGAGGGGTGGCAGAGACACTTCAGGCATATGGCTCAGATACTTAGGACCCATTTGTAATAGCACAGGTGAGTTTTGCAGCCACCACTGGGCATTTCCATAAAACAGGCATGTGGGCAGAAGGGTAATGTGGCAGTATCAGCCAGGGCTGAGGACAGATCCCTGGGGGATGGGCTCCTATGATGAACAGGCTGGTTTCAAGTTCTTTTAAGAACTACTCTCAGAGGACAGGCCAGATGCCCACAATCCCTATCACCTTGTATATAGAGATGCTAGTTTTCATTTTAAAACACATATAAGACTTTGAGGCTAATGTAAAGCAAGAACTGGTATCATCTTACTCACAGTCCAGTGAGTTTTCTGCAGGCATTTGAGGGCAACAAACTCTAATTCTATCTTGTTTTCCTGGCACAGCTGGGTGGCAAGACCTTTATCAAATGCTTTCCCAACATTCATCAAAAAGGTTCCCATTAACTACTGAAAGTTCTTTTTCTAACAGATGTACCTACATGAAGCCATCAGTCACAATAACAAAACAATCTTTTTCACATGGGCAAGGAGAGCTACTAGACGAATAACTACAGAAACTATCAGAGACTTCTGTTAGAGAATGACGTGTACCATGAACTAAGCTTTTTGGAAATGTGTTCTCCCAGATCATATAGTAGATTGACCTGGGCTCCCTCAAGTATCAGGTTGATGTGATTGCTCAAAGAGGAATAGTAATTTTGTAAGATTTGGTTTCTTCTGTAAAACTTTTAACTACCACCTTTAGGATTACTGTAAGAATGAAGAATATGAATTATCTTGTGATGAACGATCTGACAATAACAGCTCAAAAGATTATCTTGTCGGGTGAAAAAAAATCACCTTTTTTTCTTCTCACATATCTTTATAAGTATTTTTGGGAGATTTATCACCAATCCTGGAAATGTATGCTTTCTGTAAGCAGCCTTACTCATTTACCTGGGGCAAACAGTCAGGGCGAGATTCAAAGATCACCAGTAGAACACCGATTGGAACAGTCACTTGCTCAAGTTCCAGGTTTTTAGCAATTCGGGTCCTGCGCAAAACACGCCCCACACTGTCCTGCGAGGAAGCTGCAATCTGCCGCAGCCCGATGGCCAGGCTGTTCAGTTTAGACGTGGAGAGGCTTAAACGCTTCAGCAGAGGGCCTGCAAGTCTCCCTGAAAAAGTGTTGAAAATGTGTATTGATGCAGCAGATCCAAGCAGGCTACTGCTACCCATTTACATGTCTCAATGTCTTACTGAACATATGACAGCGCACTGGGAGCAGACAGTTAAACTTCTGAATCTCAATAAGAAAGCGACATGCCATTTACATGTTCCTAAGGGGGCAGTTCAGCAATACGTGTACATATGCACATTCCTTGTGCTGGAAATCTTGGGTTTCAGAAACTTATCACTTGTATGATCAAGCCTACATGTGACAAAGACATGTACCACAGCATTTTATAAAAGTGGGAAAATGGATTTTACCTAAATTCAGACAATGGACCACAGTGTTGCTATTATTATACATAAAACTAATTTATTGATAGGGAAAGCTACCTAGGATACAGCTTGTGAAAAAGTAAAACTATAAAACAGCATGAATAGGGTACTACTTATCAAACACTTTGATACACGTGTACACAGAGAAATTTCTGAAAGTCACCAAAATAGTGATTACTTCTACTTCTATCTTTCTGCATTAATTTTTAAAAATGAGTGAATTACTTTTATAACCAGAAGCAAAAACATATATTCTCCTGAAATAAGTTCAATTATTGTAGGTTTATATACAAAATTTCTTCAGATAAAATATACACACACACACATTTATATATACATACATATTCATACACACATATGTATATATATTCAGAAAACTACTTGGAATCACATACCATAAATCATTACTGTGGTTAATGCTAAAATGAGATTATGCAAAATTTTCCATTCTTTTTCATAGCTATACCCACTAAGTTAAAAATAATAAAGATCTCTACTATGGAGGGGACGAATCAAACTTAAAAATTATATAATCAATTAATTTTATTTATTTTGTACTATAAGCCAAAAACTGAGTTTCAGTTATAGTGAATGTTATATTGTAGCTTTTCACCCCACAAGCACATTTTCCATGTTATAAAATTATATGAATACTAAATATTTCACTGAGTTGATATTGCATAATGCACTTAACAGCCTGTGTTGTTATATACTCATGTGGTTTCTAGTTTTTCAGTGTCATAATTTTTTTTCTAAGAATCTTTACATACAGAGGTGTTTTCTCCTTGAAATATTTACTAGAATGAATTCCCTGAGTTGGGATTACTGATCAAAGGGGATTATCATGCTCATGTAGTCCCAGAAGTTGGTTCTTAACTAACTGTGCCCTGTGTATTTCCAAAGATATTATTGAGATTAGAAGTCTGAGAATGTTCACTAGCTGTGTGACCTTGAACAAAAGCTTTAACTTCTGTGAGCCTGAATTTTCTTCATGTTAATGTAAAAGAATTGGATACTATCAGGAATTTCTTCCACTTCTAAAAACCTACTTTATGACTTCGTACTACTACAAAAATCCAAAAGACTAGCAAATTCCAGAGCAAGTTCAGAGACACTGCTTCAAAGTACTATAAACAATAGAAGAAATGCCATCAAACCTTGTGAGGTTTCCTTGTGAGCGCACCATTAGCCTGGATATTTAAGTAATGGCACACTTACTCAAGGGAAAAGGAAAGTTAAAGCCTCATACACTCAACCCCTATTACCTTAGTGTAGAAAAGACAAAGAATGAAGAGGGAGACGGAGACAGCCTCTCCAACTCTACACACTCAGCTGTCTGCAATGTAAGTTCAACCTTCTCACTTTCTCTACATATGCACCTCAAAGGTATTTCTGGCAGGCACGTAGTCATGGAAGACTTCCCGCTGGTTGACAAACTAAGAGACAACCTCTCCAAGCTGCACAAATTATCACTACAATTCTTTTCATGTATCATCCACCTATGGTGGAATCTCAGGTCCATCACTCGCCTTTTTAGTTTTACAAGTGAGAATTTCTCTAAATGTCAGTTTCTCCTCTGTAGAATGGAGATAATAACTAGAAGCTCCAGACGTACCCTGCTGTGAAGATTAAATGCAATCCTACTAGCACAGTGGCTGGTAATACAGAAAGGCCTTATGATGGTTAACTGTTACTAGTCAAATGCCTAAAGCAATGGGATTTTCAGTTTTGTTTTTGGTCCTAAAATTGTTATAGTAGTCACAGCTTGTGTGAGCAGTAGGGGACAAGAAGAGTCCTACTGGGGTGGTATGAAAATATCTGGGGAAACAACAAAAATATCTGGGAAAGGGGGTAGGAGTAATATGAGCAGTTTTGAAAATAGCTAACTTGTACCAGCGACTTACACTGACAATAATGATGCATAGAAGTAATTTCCTCTATAACAATCTTGCCTTTAGGCAAGTTACCAGAATCACTAGTAAAACAACAACAAAAAGAAATAAAGCAAAAACCCTCTATGTGACCCTTTACCTTCTGCTTCTTCCAGGTCTTTTTTGTTAGCTAATAAGATCTCTTCTTGCTGGTCTGTCAGAAGATCAGCCAGATGATAGATGATTTCTGCTCTCTAGAAGGCAAACCATTTTAAAATCAGGTATGTTAATCCTAGAAGAACACACGCCAGGACTGACACCTACTCTTCTGGAGTATTAGTGCTGTTCTGAAGTCAAGGTCACGACTGACTGATGTCTCCTTACTTCTCATCAGTCCTTTCCTACCACTGCTCTCTCAAATGTTGAAACTTCTTATTTCTTCTTTCTTTCCCTCCTCTTTTACTATTTCTGATTACTGCAATGAGCAAACCATGGCCCAGCTGTGAGGGAGGCAGTATGATGAATTATTCAATTTATCAGTGAAGAAGGGGTCAGCACTATGTCTGAGCATCACTCATATGCCTTCAAAGAATTAATATTACTAGGCAGCTTATATCCCTTTTTACATCTGGTTATTTTTTCTCAATTAGTTGATGAGGTCAATCAAAGAAGAAAAATATCAGACCAAGACGCCTGAAGAGACTCTAATCCTTTCCCACCAGATTGCAGAATGTGGCTAACAGGTATGATGATTATTGAAGAAGTAGAAGGAAATGATCTCAGAGGTAAGTCAGGCTCCTCCTTTCCTATCTCTATTACAGTTTTTCTTAAAAACTGTATTAGTATATGTTTATGGTTTGTGTCCAGATGTCTCCCTAAAGCTTCATTAGTCATGGGGGTGGGCTTCTACAGTGTGTGATGATTCATGGTCCAAAGTCGGGATTATGGGTGTGAGCACCACAGCCACATTGGGTGGGTAGCTGCATACAGTGTAAACGAAGGAAAGAGGCTTGCTCTCTCTCTCTCTTCTCCCCTTTCTGCTCTTGCTACTATGCCATCTTCCACCACCCTGAACTGTTGTCCCTCAGCCATGCCACCATGCCTTAGAGTCAGCTAACTGCAGACTGAACCTCCACAAACTGTGAGGCGTCCTAATTTTGGGTAGTATTTTTTTCTCACCAGCAGTGAGAAAAAAGTAACGCAGAATTTGGTACCAAACAAGTGGCATCATTGCTGCAAATATACCTGACCATGTGGTTCAAGAGCTTTGTGGGAAGATTTTGGAAAGGTTCAGAGATGTCACCTGAAAAAGTAGTGTTGGAATGTCTTAGGCTATTCTGTATGGGAGATTCTGGTCCTGAGCTCCGAAGACCAGAAAGCTGACAGAAATTATGTTGGTAAAGACCAGGCTTGGGAGTTCCTGCTGCGAATAGACTTGGCTCCTAGACTCCAGGCCATGTATATGTGTTACAGCTTTTCAGAAAGTTTGTCTGCATTTTGTTTATGTCCAGAGACTTTGCCTGAAACTATGATTAAGGGTTAATTAATCTGGGAGAAGAAATTTCAAGGCAGGTGAATGTTGAGGCAGTGGCATAGTTCTTGTTGCTTTTTATTTATTTATTTTTTTAGCCAGATTTATGGCATGAATCAAGAGCATAGGACTTGGCCAGAAAGGTAAGCTGTGGACTACAAAGATAGAGCTGAGGACATCTCAACTGCTGAGAAGGAACAGGAGAATATAAAAGATGGCCTGAAGGCATCACGAGGAGCAGCAAGTCTCTACGCTTTGCATTCTCAAAACTGCAAAGGTAAAAGACTACTTTAGGGATAAAGCTGCACAGTACCATGTTCCAGAATGGCAGCAGCACAGAAAATTTATTTCCCAAAATTTGATTCAGAGTACCCAGCATTCCAGAATTCTAGCCCTATGGCCATGAGAGAGGAATGGCTGGCTAGTGCTCCAGCTGGCAGCAGACCTAGGCATCATCTATGTGGTGCTGGTGCTGGTTTTAGATGCTTGCGGAATGCAAGAGTTCTGAGGTTAAAAAGTCTTCCACTCAGATTTCAAAAGAAGGCCTAGGCTGTCAGGCAGCGTGCCCCTGAAAGGACAGTGTATGAAGCTATGAAGGAGAAGCCAAAGGTGCAGTGGAGACCCCACAAGTAGAAAAGCCAGAAACATGGATCATCTGAGGAAATGTGAAAGGAGGGAGCAGAGCCAGTCCAACAGAAAAGTCCTGGGAGACACAGCCACCAGCAGTGCTGTAAGGGTAAAGTCATTCAAGCCTTTTGGAGCTCAAGTCTTGCCACAGGTTGCTTTGGATGTTGCACACGGAACTACAGGATTAATATTTGCCCCACTGGATTTTGGACTTGCTTTGGTACTATTACTTTGTATCTCTTTTGTACCTTTACAATGTTTATTTTGTGCCACTGAATGTTGGAAGTGTTTAATTTTTTCATTTGTGCAGGGGCTCACAGCTAAGAGTCTGCTTTACATCTTGGAGGAGACTTGGGACTTGGACTTTTTAACAATGCTGAAACTGTTAGAACTTTGGCAACTGTTAGAGATAGACTAAGATGCCTTTTATATAAAGGGATGTGCATTAAGTCTTTGGGAGGCCAAGGGTTATGGTTTATGTCTAGATGTTCCCCCAAAGCCTCATGCAGTCATGGGAGTGGGCTTCTAGAGTTTGTGACTGATTCATGGTCCAATGCTGGGTGAGTACTACACCACCCCGGGGCAGGAAGCCTGCATACAATATAAGGGAGTAAAAGAGGCTTGTTCACTTTCTCCTCTCTTTTTTGTTCTTGCTGCCTTTGCTATCTTCTGCCACCATGAACTACTGCTCCTCTACCACATCACTCTGCATTGGAGCCAGCTGATTATGGATCAAAACGTCCATACACTGTAAGCTAAATAAGCCTTTCCTTCCTTAATTTTGGGCACTGGGTATTTTGTCCCAGCAACAAGAGAAAAGTAACTAGACAGTACATGTTGGCAGTACATGCATTTTACAAGCAGCTTAGGGGAACTGGTATGGGATACAGCTTGTTTTTTTTTTTTTTTTCCCTAATCCCCCCTGCCAAACTCCCCTTTCTCAGTTCTCATTCTTGATATTATTAATCTTAGTTCATGTTTATGACATACACTGTGCATAGTTACTGAGGTTATTAGGACCTCATACCTGGCATATCTTCACTCTATTTTCCTATGCCCCTCCTCCTTGCCCCTCAGCCTTGGTCCCCTGGATCCCTTCCCATCTGCAAGAGACCCTTCACCTTGTCTCGTCCTGTCCTTCCTTTTTCTCTTAGTCTACACACTACCTTTCTCAGAAGAGAGATACTATTTGGTATTCAGGTTTGTGTGTGTGATTTATTTCACTTGACATTGTACTTTCTAAGTGCATCCATTTTCCTACAATTGTTTATTTGTTCTACTTTATAGTTGAACAGTATGCCATTATATACAGATATTACATTTTCTTTATCCAATTTTCTGTTGATGGGTATCCAGATTGTTTGCAGGAGTTTGCTATTATGAATTGTATTCCTGTAGTGTGTCTTAAGCTCTCTTGGGAAGGTATGTAGAAGAGGGTAGCTGAGTCATATGGAATTTCCATTTTAGTTCTCAATCTCCATACTGATTTCTACAATAGTTGTACTAGTTTACATTCCCACCAACAATTTAGGAGGCTTCTTTTTTTTTACCACAGCCATACCAGCATTTGTTATTTTTTGATTTCTCAATGATTTGTTTTTTTCTGGAGTAGGACAGACTCTTAAGTGTTGCTTTAATTAGGATCTCTGTAATGGTCAGAAATGTTAAATATTTTTCATATATTTGTTGGTCATTTGTACATCTTCCTCTACTTACAATTATTTTAGTCTCTTTTTCTTTCTCAGGCACAGGTATTGCCCAGAAGAAACGTACATAATTACTCTAAAATCCATCCTTAATAATCAGCTTTCACCTGCCCTCCTCACAGTGTCCAGCCTTATTGCACCTGCTGTATGGACTAATTCATGACAAAATATTCATGGATAGGGTAAGGCACTAACCATGGAGCAGGCTCTCAAGCTTCCATCTCATAGTTAAGATAAATGATATAGACTGGGTTGAAGAAGTAACTATCCTACATTTCCACACCCATTATATGTCAACATTGGCTAGCCTGCTAATTGGCTAGCCTGTGTAACACATACACGTTCATTTTTATGATGCTTTTGGCTGAAACATCATAGTGAGCTCGGTGTGGTGACACACACCTATAATCCCAGCTCCTTGGAAGCCTGAGCAGGAAGATCAAAAGGTCAAGGCCAGTCTAGGCAACTGCGACCTAGTCAAACACACTCAAATACACACACACACACACACACACACACACACACACACACACACACACACCAATAAAAAGGTCTATAGATGTAGTTTAGTGTCGAAATGCCCCTGGGTTCAATCCCCAGTATCAGGGGTGAAAGGGGAATGATAGAGTACTATTCCGCCATAAAGAAGGATAAATTTGGGGCCTTTAATAGGAAAACGGATGCACCTTGAGCCCATAATGTTAAGTGAAATAAAACTTATTTTTTGCATCGTTTTTTTTTGGTACTGGGGATCAAACACACGACCTTGTGCTTGCCAGGCAGGTGCTTAGCCACTCAACTAAATCCCCAGCCTCCTGCATGGTTTCTCTTATATGAGAAATTCAAAATATAAATAAAGAGTGAAATAAAAGACAATAGGAAATAGTGAGCTAGGTCTTTAGCATATAGGCAGGGGATTAAGAGATAGAGGGAGGGAAAAGGAAAATGATATTTTAAAAAATAAGGGGAATTTTGATGTTTTGTGTACATGTACCAAGTTTTACGAGGAATGTGATCATTATGCACTACAAACACATACAAAACATGTATTAATAGACCAGAATAGATATATGAAGGGGTCCAAGAGATGGAAGGACAGTTAAGGAGGGGAGAGGGCAAAACAAGAATTAAGACATACCATATACATGTATCAACTTCCCATGATAGATGTAATCATTAAATACTACGAACATGTACCAATAAGAAAAGCTACTGTAGGCCTCAGCCTATGAAAGACAAACAGGAATATAAAATTAAGAAAAAGAAAAAAAGGCAGAGCAATTCTGTAATAATTCAAGTAAGCCCACAAAATTCCATGGATGCTAAGAACACAGGTGTGGGGGTCAGCAGTCTTCATGATTACACTATACCATATAGCCTGATTCGGTTTAAAAATGATTAACAAAACTATCAGTTAAGGTTATTACCTGCTCAGGTTCCAATGTGGCCAACATCCTTCCCCCAGATCGAGCCATTTCTCCCTGTTGCTCAACAGTTGGGCCTAAAAAGTGCATGCAAGCATCAGAACAAGGTCAAGTGCATTCTCTCTCACTGTCCCAGCCTGTGCTCAGACTCATGATATGCAAAAGGAACTCTCGGTGTGTCTCAGTGTGCTTGTTCCATACATATGAGGTCACTCTGACCAATAAAATAGTAAAAGTACTCACCAGGGTAACTCCACAATACCACAATAAGCACAAGAACTCATCTGTATTTCTGATGTGGACAACATACTTTGTCTTTTAGAGTTCCTTTCAATTCTACTTTGGTTTATATTTTCTCATGTTTGCACTTGACTACAGATTGTAAAAACCCTATCCTTGTCAACACATGAGAGAATATACCAACCATTTCTTATACATCTCTGCATCTCCAATGCTTATCAGCACCTGGCAATGGGCACTGGCTGAGTAAGTGTTTCCTAAAAACAGATGGAAGCGTACACTGTTTGACCTAGTGATTTTAGAGACAATAAGAGCCTTAACTAGGCAAGGCAGAGAATTTTAGCAAAGCAAAGTAAAACCCAATTGTTCTAACAATGTTTTAAAAATACCAGATTTCATGGCACATCCACAGTACCCAAGTGAGAGCTCAGACTTCTATCTTGGGTGGGGTGTCAAAGGCTACCACCCACAGGCCTGGGGACCTCATGAAGAACTACCTACCTGCAGGCTTTACTTCTGAAAAAAAAGTGCCAACCTTCTTCCCCTCTACAATGTCTGTGATGACATGCCCAGACACCTTGGGATGGGTTCCATTGGCAATGACAACAGAAGTGCCACCTTGTAGAGCCCAGAGAGCTGCCTTCACCTAATGGGACAAGTGATATCCAAACAGGAGACTCAGACTTGCAAAAGACATAAAACAGAATTTAACATTAAGCAAGTTAAATAAATGCAGTGATATTTTCAAAACCTCAAAAGCTCTGAAGAACACATGTATCCATGCTGACTTCCCAGCCAAGCCCTGCATGTTACCTGATGATGAACCAACTGTCCTCTGTTTTCAGCACGTTCTCTCTCAGACTCCCTGGTACAGGACTCTCAACATCTGCACTGTGACTTGTTTTGCCTCAGCATTGCAGCAGCTCAATGACTGGCCAGGGGTTTGACAGAACTTCAGTGCTTCTGAAGCTTCTATAAAAATGGGTTCCTAGCCTCACCTCTGCCATTGCTATGTATAATGCTTTACCTTAAGCAAATAACTTCTTAAAATGATTAATGGGACAGAAAATATGAAACGTGTATCAAGATATATTTGAGCTGATAACAGTAGATTTAAGAATTGTAAAAATTTTATGGGCTTTACCCTAGAATAGTTTATAATATGAATACACTGTTCATACGACATTAAAGAAAAATACATATACAGACAAAGATAGGCACACAACACCCATTCCTTTAGATATGTGCATATTTAAGTATATGTCTCTAGTATCTGAACTATTAGCTAGCCCCAAACAATAAGAAAAGTATAAAAGTGAAAAGGACTGATTTGGCTTTGTAACTGTTAAAGAGATTTAGGGAACCCAGTGCTTACCTTGGCTTCCATGCCACCCATTCCCACTCTAGACTTGGTCCCAAATGTCACAGACTGCTGATCCCCGGGATAAAATATATCTATGAGCTTTGCATCATCTGACCCTGGGGGGCTGTCAAAGAGTCCTAAAAAGTAGACAAAAATCAGTAACACTGCTGTGATGAAAGTGTGTGTCCCCCACACAGCCCTCCCCAGGCTCCTACTACTAGTAGGAAAAACTACCTCATGCTTTGGTCATCCACATGAACTACATGAACCACCACCTGCTCTAACCAGAAATGAGGACCAAGGGAGCTATGGAGCTGCCCTACACTAAAATACTGCTCCCAGAGGACTCACCTTACATAACCTTGTAACTTGGCTTGTGAGTATTTTCTAACCCTGGAGCCTGGCCACATCTTTGGCACAAAATTTATTAACCCTGTCCAGAGTCTTCTGCAAGTGTCCTCCTCTCTTCCACTGCTACCTATCATGCCACACCTCCATGATATAATTGAAAATGCAGAGAAGTTACTGCAGAAATAGTGCATCAGCCATATAGACTGTTTAATGTGACTGCTTCCAAACAGGGCGAAAAGTGAAGCAGGTACTCATTAACTCTCACTGTACCCTTTGAAACAGGCACCCATTTATATTCCTCATTTTATGTGTGTCACTGTGGAGGTTGGACAGAGTCAGCAGGAGAGCTCATGACTCTCAGCATGCACTCTGATTTATATATTGCACTCTGATTTATGACTATAAAGTACATGTCCCTTGTATAACTGAGTAAGATGAAATAAAAGTTACGTGACACGTTACACAAGTACGGCAATTTTACTTTGTAAATGAATACAAGCTTTTACTTTGTAAACAAAAGAGAAAAGGGGAAGGTGAGAGAGGTCTACGAAAACAAAGTAAAATTAAAATCTAAAGGGGACACAGCTGGAGAGGTGCTATCTATGGCAGGGGACTGGCTGGAGGACATTTTAGATGATGGTTTGGGTTTTAAGTCACTGCTTTTCCTGTATTATAACTTTTCCCTTCATTACTCTAGATCTTTAATACCATCCTGTTGCAGATACAGCCTTTCAAGAAAGTGAGGAAATCAAGTGTCCAGAGCAGGACAAAGCAGCCCAAACTGGGCAGCAAACACAGGAAAAGAAAGAGTAATCTCTTATAATTTTCATCCACACTGATTAGTACTCTGCAGCCTTCTGTGCTTTCCAATGGGTTCTCCCACAGTGCTATGGGATGACAGGCTTGGACTGAAAGGCTGTTAAGTTTCATAAAATAGTGCAGTAAACTCTGGATGATTCTAAGCTGACCAACCATCTCTCAAGAGGCTGAACGGCTTCCACTATAGATTCTGGCAGTTCCTCTTTTCCCCTTGCAGCAGCCTCTCTACCCAACCAGTGAAGCATTTAAAATTCTGATACTGTTCTATGAATCAATATTATATACCTAATTAATTAACCATAAGAGCAAAAGCCTGGTGAGGGCCAATTTTGGTGTTTGAAACTGCATCAAATAATGAATTTGACACTTCTTACCTTGGTTTCCATGCCACCCATTCCCACTCTAGACTTGGTCCCAAATATCACAGACTGATCTCTGGGATAAAATATATCAATGAGCTTTGCATCATCTGACCCTGGGGGACTGTCAAGGACGCCTAAATCTAGATAAAATTTGTATAGTGATCTTACAAATTCACATCTTCCACCTTGCTAGGCAGTGTAGGAGAAAAGGATGATTTTTCAATTGAAGAGACCTGGATTACAAAGCAGGCTTCACAAACTACTTGCTGTATGACTTTGAAAACAATATTAGCTGATCTGAACCTAATTTTTAATTTCTTCATCTGTATAATTGGACAAATCTACCTACTCTGTAGGTTTGCTACAAAGACTGAATACATTGACATTTATGGAACACACAGCGCACTATTCACACACACAGTAGAATTTAATGAAAACCTTTTAACCACATAAGGTGGCTTATACTTGCCCCAACTTAGCTATTCCTACCCTGAGACTTCAAATTACAGTGAATAAACACAATACCAAGATTTCTTACAGGTGAAGACACTGACATGTAGATAGAATATATCCGAAGTTTGACAGGAGCAAAAAACAGATTAACTCACTTGTATCTGCTCCTGCCTCCACCAGGCAGCCACTGCCCTTACCTTACACAGCTGAGTATAAAACAAAGAACAAATCTTCCCATGTTAACTTTCTGGGGAGAGGGTAGACTGGGAATTTAGCAGGGTTTTTTTTCTGACCTCCTGGGAATACAATGGAAGACTTGGGGTCCCGGAGGTCTGGTCAATTTAGGACACAACAACTATTATTTCTTATAGGTTACACTGTAAAACAGTAACAGAGTGAAAGGAGAACCAAACTGGAGCCAAGAAGGTACCTCCATGAGGAAGGGGAAAGCAGAAAAGAAGAGTAACATATAAAGTGGAGGTGGCCATAAAAGCCCAGGTTCCCTAAAGTAGCTCTAAAATAAGCTGTCCCCCTGATTTACATTAAAACCTGAAAGTAACCCACACCACAATGATATCACTTCTTAGTCACCAGGATGGCTATCCTAAAAACCAGACAATACCAAATTAAGAATTGGCAAGGATGCAGACAAATTAGATGCCCCAAATACTGCTGGTGGAAATGTAAAATGAACAGTTGCTTTGGAAAACAGCATGATGGCTCCTCAAAAGGTTTTTAAATGTAAAGATACTATGAAAATCTACATTCCCCCCCAGTCCTAGGAATCAAACCTAGGGCCTTACATGTGTTAAGAAAGCACTTTACCACTGAATTACATTCCCCTGCCCAACAATTCCCCTTTCAGAGGAAATACAAAACATGCTCATACAAAAAGTTGCACATGAATGTACATAATAACATTATTCATAACAGTTCATATGTCCAACTAATGAAAAAATAAAATGTGGCATATCTACAGAACACAATATTATTTGGCAATAGAAAGAAATACAGTACTAATGTACACTATAACATAGGTAAAGCTTGAAACATCATGCTAAATGAAAGAAGTCAGTCACAAGGGACCACATGGGGTATTATTCCATTTATGTAAAGTATCAGTAATGGCTAAAAACATCTATAGAATAAACTGGAAGTTGTTTAGGGCTGGAGAGTCGTGGGTGGAAGTGGGAAGTGACTGCTAATTGGTATGAGGTTTTTTGTTGAGGTGATGAAATTACAATTTTGACTGTGGTGGTAGCTGCACAACTGTGTGAATACACTAAAGATCACTGGACTGTAACTTTAAGTAGGTGAACTGTATGGTATGTGGATTATATTTCCATAAAGCTGTTATGAAAAATATGAAACTGAAAGCACTTGGAAATATTATTCTAGTACTGAAACTTCTTCTCTCACTTACCAACTCTGAGTCATAAAAACTTGTCAGACCATATAGCTCAGAAAATTTAGTAGTCAATAGGAAAAAAAGGTCAGAAAAACTCAAACAAGAGGGCAACTTATACATGTAGAAAAAGACATTATTTGTACCTTCTACATCTGAAAGAACAATCAGGAGGTCAGTTTTCATTTCCACAGCCAGGCGGGCAGCCAGGCTATCATTATCTTTAACACTAATAACCTGGAATATAATAAAAATGTCTTAAGTGAGTGAACTACGTGGTCCAAAAAGAAATTCACAGAAGCACCCAGCTAGGATCTGTTAGGCCAACCGAATGACCCAAATATACAGATGATAGCCATTGCAGGTCCCCTCCGCAAAGCACAGTGCCCCTTAGCAATCCCTTTTTCAAACATGCAGCCATCTACCGAAATACACAAGCCATGCTCACAGTACCACCTTAAGTCAGTCCCTGACTTCAGAAGAGTTCGTGCAGCCACTGTTCTGTGATGCCAGCTTTTCTCCCAATTTCTCCACCTTCCTCATGCCAAACTTCCAGTGTTAGTACATGCCACACAGCGTGCATTAGTATTGCCAGCATGCTCAACCCTTAGGAATACTATACCCACATTTACCCCCTGGAGATCACTGTTGGGCTCAGCTGGGGGGACAACAGCATCATTTGTGTTGATAATGGGGACTATGTTCATCCGAAGGAGTTCATGAAGTGTCCCGTTGAGGTTCCGGCGCTTCTGCTCATCGTGGAAATCCAGGTTGGTCACCAAAATCTAAAAGGATTAAGTAAATTAAAAATGGGCAGGAGGAACATGATGCGCTTCCTTGGAAAGGTATAAAAATATACTCAAAAATACAACTGCAAGTGTGTTTAGGGGTGTTAAATAGATGACCATATTAATGTATTTGCTTGGATCATTGAACACAACTGTTTGCAGTCTCACTGTTTGAATGTCCACTTTGTATGCTTTGATACTGTGCTTTGAGCAACTATCTCTAAGATGATAATGTGTAATCCATTAACTGGTCATTTCTTACTTTTTTTTTTTTGTAGTTCTGTATTACTTGTACCCTTTACACCACTTTGTTTTGTTTTTTCTCTTTTTTCCTTTTAAATAAAATAAAAAAAAAAAAGAAAATAATATACTCAAAGTAGGGGAATGTCTTAGTCACTTTATTGTCACTGGCACAAAATACCTAATATCCACAATTTAGAGGAAGAGAGGCTTATTTTGGCTCATGGTTTTTGTACGTGGTTGAACAGAAACAGAACGGTAGAAAGGCCTAGGAAGAGGCCAACTGCGCATCCCATGGGCTGTCAGAAAACAGAGAGAAGGGAAGAGCCAGGGACAAGAATACATACTTCCAAATCTGATTTGGCGCTTTCCACCAGGCCCTGCCTCTCAGAAGAGGAGGTAATCATAAGGTGTTCACAGGAAGAGCGGAAGCTGGGTGTGTGAAACAGTAAACCAGTCTGCTTTCTTGCTCAAGCAGACCATTGGACAATGTTAGGCATACAGAAAGGTAAATGAGAATAATAGCAATAAATTAAATGGCAGCAAACCCTGAAGCTCAAGATTAAGTGTTTTTAATCTCTCTGATGTTTAAGGATATAGGTCCTTGTTGCATAGGGCAGGAAAGTTTGGAAGCAGATCTAAAAAATAAGGGTACTTACCAGTTAAAGCAGGGACAATTAAGGCCTGCATCAAGGTCTGGCTATGATAACTACCAAGAACAACTGCAGTGAAGCAGCAGATGTAAAATGCTGACAAAGTGATCACACGACTACCCGGGAAGAAAGCACTCATTCTCTTGTGGAGCAACTCTGAAACACCAGGCCTATACTAGCTGCTTAAGTGGGGAATAAAATGTTGATGGTTTGAAAGAAGATGGAATGCAGCGTATTTTTAGAAGGAAAGATTATGTACTCCTTTTCAAAAAGTTTAGGTCTGTGGAAAATAGAACTGGGTCAAAGCTTAACATACAGATTCTAGTCATGCTGGCAAAAGATCAAACAACAAAAATAAACACATGTGTGGGAGAGGCAAGCAGGAGGTCTAAAGGTCCAGGGAAAATACATGTCACTAAAACACTATCAAAAACAAAGGGTGGAAATTTGACAGTGAAGGTAGAAGAGGGTCCCTGGGGGGAAAATTTGTGCTTGGAGAATGTCAATCTGCTGAGACAAATTGGTTTGGTTTCTACGAAGAAAAAATAAACTGCTGTATTTGTTTAAGTCTTTAATCTGGGCGTCAACTTGGAAATTCTCAAAACCCACTGCTAATGGTCTTCTTTGTAGGTCTGCTTAAGAAAAAAGGTACTATAACATAAGGTGCAAAGGGCAAAGACTGATTAGATTCTGTGGAGTGGTGGTGGGGCACAAGTGTGAGAGAGGCCCAGGGGTTGGTGCTTGTTGGGAATTGGCTTGCATTCAGTATTAGTGCAAATGTCTAATGTACACTGACTTTTTTTTTTGTACCAGGTGTCAAACTCACAATCTCACGTTTGCTAAGCAGGCACTTAGGCCACTGAGCTAAACTCCCAGCCCTGTGCCTTGACTTTTAATGCTACCATTATTTCAAACAAAGAAAAACAAAAACTAACTCTCAGAAAGCAGCAATCTTAGGAAAAATCAAAACGTAGTTCCAGGCTCACCTGGCTCTAAGCACTTTAAAAAATTAAAATATAAGCCAGGCACACCTGAAATCTCAGTACTGGAGAGGCCAAGGTGGAAGGATCACTTTGAGCCCCTAGATGTTTGAAACCAACCTGATCTCCTTCTCAACAGAAATACATTGAAGACTTCATCCATAAGCAACAAAGAGATAAAACACATGAATATTTCAAGTCACTTATTCATGATAACTTTGTATCAGTTCATCACTATGAACAACAACTATGAAAATGATGGAAAATCAAAAAAGCATAAAAATGACACAAAATCTGAAATGAGTTATAAATAATAGTATCATCTATGTAAAATAATGTTTCGTCAGAAGCAGCAAGAAATTTGAAAATAATAACTTACAGAATTATATTTTTCCAGTTGTACTATAAAGTAATTATTATTTAGTGCTTCTCTTTAATATGTAGCTATACAGCTGAATAAAAAATTCAGGAAATATAGGTAAAAAGAAATAATGTAGAAATAAGGTTGTAGGACATTCAAGGTAACCTCTAAAAATTTGTTAAGAACTGGAACCATATCTGACTTGCTTATTACACCATGGGTAATCAATAAATACTTGCTGACTGAATAAAAAGCCAACCACCTGCAATACTTAACAAGACATCTACTATAAAAGGCTGCCAGGTGCAAAGAGAAGAAACTCACTTGAAGTTAAGGAGACCATGAAATAATATCTAACTTTTCTGTGTTCAGAAATACCCGTATCTTACCAGAAAATTAGCACATCTCATTAGCAAAGACATAAAGAGACTGAAAGTAAAAGGATGGAAAATGATAGCTCATGCAAATTAAATCCAAAAGCAAGCAGGAGTAGTTATACTCATGTCTGATAAAGGCATACTCATATCAAGCCAAAATTAGAAGAGACAAAGAAGGTCATTGGTACAATCCACAAAAGAGATGTAATAACAGCTGTAAATATGCTTTGGACATCAGTGCTCAGTTTCATAAAACAGACAATACTTGACATAAAGAGACAGACCCCAAAATAATAACAGTGTGTGATCTTAAGACTCTACTCCGATAGGTCATCCAAACAAACAAACAAACAAAAAATCAATAAACATCAGAGTTAACTACACCATAGACCACACACTAAGCCAATATCTAACAACTGCAGAATATGTATTATTTTCAGCAGTTCACAAACCTTTTTCCAAAACAGATCATATTTCAAGGCACAAAGAAAGTCTTAACAAATACAAAACACTTAACAAATACAAATACAAAAACTTAATAAATACACATACAAAAACTTAACAAATACAAAAAAACTTAGTACAATAATTTCTTGCAACTTATAAGGTCACAATAGAGTGAAGCTAGAAATCAATAGCAAGGGAAACTACATAAACAAATGGGAATAAAAATACACTTTTGAATAATCCATGGGTTGTTGAAGCAAATTAAAAAGTAAATTTAAAAACTTCTAGAGTCAAACAAAAATAGAAAGGAAACATACTAGAATCTGTGGGATACAAGCAGTGAATGCCTAGATAAAAGAAATAAGTTTGGAAATAAACAATCTAATGATACATCTCAAGGTCATAGAAAAAATACAACCCAAACCTAATCCCAAACCCAAAAGAAGGAATAAAATAATGAAGATCAGGGCTAAAACTAATGAAACAGAGACAAAAAAAAAATCACTGAAATAAAGAGTTGATTCTATAACAAGATAAACAACATTGATAAACTAACCACCAGATTGACCCAATAAAATTAGGCACACAAAATGGTATATTACAATAGACACCAAGAAATACACAAGATCATCAGGGACTGTTTTGAAAACCTATATATCAATAAACTGAAAAATCTAGAAAAATGGCTAATTTCTAGACATATGTGACCTACCAAAACTGAACTGAAAGTATATTAGAAATCTAAACAGATCATTAACAATAAGACTGAAGCAGTAATAAAGTTTTAATTTTATCAGAGTTTTAAAATGCTCCTGAAATTATTCTTTTTTTTTTTTTTTTTTTGCACCAGGAATCCAACTCATGACCTCACACTTGTCAGGTAGATGCTATGTTGATGAGCTATAAGCTATATCCCTGGCCTAACCTCAAACTATTTTATAAAACAAAAAGAGAAAAAACACTTCCAAACTCATTCTACAAGGCCAATATCACACTGATACCAAAACTGAGTGAGGACATAACAATGACAAAAGAAACCATACACTAGATCCTTGATGAACAAAGGCATAAAATCCTTAATAAAATACTTGCTGAATTCAACAACACATTAAGAAGACCACACACCATGATCAAGCTGCTTGCATTCCAGGGATATATGAATAGTACAACATATGCAAACCAATAAATATAATATACTACATAAACAGAAGGATAAAAATCACATTATCTAACTCAACTGATACAAAAAAACCTAAGCAAAACTCAACCTTCATTCATGACAAAAGTTATGAAGGAAACAGGTATTGAAAGATCGTACCTTAACATAATAAAAGCTATACGTGACAAAACAGTATCACTGAATAGGGTAACTGAAACAATTTCCTCTAAAGTCAGGAGTAAGGAAAGGATATCTATCTACTTTCCTCACTCCTACTCAATACTGGAATATTAGCTGGAACAAATAGGCAAGAGAAAGAAAGGAATACAAATTAGAAAGGAAAAAATCAAATTATATATATATGCGGATGACATTATATAATCCCATACTTGAAAACTCCTAAAGACTCCACCAAGAGACATTCAGCAAAGTAGCAAGATACAAAATAAACATTTCAAAAATCATCAGTTTTTCTGTACACCAGTAATGAACTTGGTGAAAATGAACTCAGGAAAACAATTTCATTTATAATATCTTAAAGTAAATATCCAGGAATCAATCTAATCAAGGAAGTGAAAGACCTACACAATGAAATTACCGAACACTGAAGAAAAAAAACCTGAAGATACTTGAAAATGGAAAGTCCACTCACATTCACAGATTGGAAGAATAGTGTTAAAATGGTTATATTACCAAAAACGATCCAAAGAGTTGATATAATCTACATCAAAATACCAATGACATTTGTCACAAATTAGAAATAACCCTAAAATTCATATGGAAACACAAAAGACCCCAAAGAGCCAAAGTAATCTTGAGCTAAAAAAAGACTGGCACTGGAGGTTACCACAATATCAACTTCAAAATATCCTACAGAGATACAGTAACAAAAAAAGCACAGTACTGGCAGAAAAGAAACACTTATGCAAATGGAATAAGATAGAGGACAGAAAAATAAACTGATGTAGGACAGCCATCAGATTCTTGACAAAAGAGCCAAAAACATACAGAGGAGAAAGCACAGCCTTTAACCACTGGTGTGGGATAACTAGGTATCCATATGTGGAAGAGTGAATTAGATCCTTATCTCTTACCTTGTACAGAAATCAACTCAAGAATGGATAAAAGACTTAAACATAAGACCTTAAACTTTGAAACTGTTTGGAAAACACTTGAAAATACAGACCCCAGCAATGATTTCCTCAATGGACTCCCTCCCTTTCTCAATAGGACTCCCATAGCTCAAGAAATAATAGCAAGAATTGACAAATGGGATTGCATCAGCAAAGGAAACAACAGATAGTCCACAAAATAAGAAAAAACACTTGTCAGCTACTCTTCTAAGAGTGAAAACCCAGAATATATAAGGAATTCAAAAACTCCAAAAGAATAAATAGTCCAATCAATAAATAGACAAATAAAATGCAGATAATTCTCAAATTAGATTCTCAAATTCACTCTCAGAAATAGAAATGGCCAATAGAGATACATAAAAATGTTCAACATTTTTAGCCATCAAGGAAATAAAACTTTATCCAAGATTCTGTCTCATTCCAGTCAGAATAGTTGTCTTCAAGAATATGAAAAACAGTAAATGCAGGTGATGATGCAAGGAAAGAGGAATTCTTGTATACTATGGGTGGGACTATAACCCAATACAGACACTGTGGAAATCAGCATGGAGGTTCCTCCAAAACTAAACACAGAGAAACTAAATATAAGGCCAGGGATTTAACTGAGATGCACAGTGCCTTCCTGGCAAGTGCAAGGTCCTGAGTTCGATTCTTAGCACATACACAAAAAAATCCTAAACATAAGACTACCACATATATGATCCAGTGTCACCAGTCATTGGTATACAGCCAAAAGAAAGTCAGCATACTACAGTGATACCTGCAATACACATGTTTACTGTGGCACAATTCACAACAGACAAGATGTCAAAGCAGCCTAGGTGCCTGTCAAGAGATGAATAAAGAAAATGTGGCATACATAAAGCATATAATTGAAATAGTTAACTTTTTATTTCTTTCTAGAGTCTCACTATATTGTAAGCTCACCTTGAACTTGCTATGCAGCCCAGGTTGGCTTTAAACTCTTTAATATTTCTGCCTTAGCTAGGATTATAGGGATGTGATATTATGCATCGTTAATGTTCAAATTTTTAAAACTGTACTACAAAGACACACTACTATTAACCCCCCCTTAAAATATTCCTCCTCACTTCAAATACATGGAATTATTTGAATACATGGAACAAATACAATTACTCCATTACTCTTGCCACTTTCTGAAGCAGTTCTGAAAGTCCTCCTTGTTGAGTATCTTTAGTTGTGCTGTTGTTATCTTTATGTTCAAAACATTAACTTTTTATGGTCATTTCAACTTTGGGGAGAAACCAGATGTCTCATGGTGCCAGACCTCAACAGGATAGAATACGACACCCTGTCATATTTTTATGAACTTATATTTCTTTGGATCGCACTTAGTAGCAGTATTTATTGTATTTTGAGCACATCTTATAAAAATGCTCACCAAAGAGGCTTCTAGAACTGCTTCAGACAGTGGCAACATGATGGGATAAGTACTCAAAGCAAAGGAAGATTTTGAGGCAGATTAATGGTAGTGTGTCTTTCACTGCAATAAAGTTTTTATTACATTATTCTAAATACTTGCCATAGATTTTCTAAACTCTTAAATAGGCACTGATATTATTACTGAAATGAGGAAACTGAGGCACAAACTTAAAGACTTTCTCCAACTCTCCTAAGCAGAAAGCAATGAAACAAGACTATCCTGGCATCTGGTTCCCGAGCCCTGCTCATAATGCTCTTGGCTCCACAATAATCTCCCTCATAGGTTCCATACCCCCTGCAAAGCCCCAAATCTCACCTGGGCAGCACAGATGCTATACTGGGTAAACATGGCCTCATACAAGGCCATCAACCCACTCTGTCCGGCAGCTGCACAGGCTCGCGCCTCTAAGACTGGAATTGCCTGTAATATACCAATCAGACAAGGTACGACTGAGAATGAGGGAAAGCAAAATATAAGGATCCCTGTTACAGGGTGAGGGAACCAGTGCTCACCATCTCTTTCAGCTGGTTCTGCCCTGAGTGCAGGGCCTGTCGCACGCTTTGAGACAGAAGGATCTCATGGCGCAATCGCTGCTTGCCAAAGGCTACAGCTCCACTGGTCACCAGCATCATCTCTCGGCCCTGATTTTGTAGCACCGATACCTGGCATTAAGGAAGGAAAAGGTCACTGTATTATTCTATGTTCCCTACAGGAGAGCCCAGGCAGACTTTCCCATCTCTGGCCCTACCCGACTCTGTCATTTGGATCACTATTTGGATATTTACTGCTTTGATCTAACCTTTTTGGGAGTCCCAATACTGGCTGCCATGGGGGCAAAGATGAGACAGCACTGTTATACCCCTCACAATCTAGTTTCTTACTGTGATTTCAATGTGCCCCCTAAAAAGCATATGTTGGAAACTTGATAGTGTTGAAAAGTTAGGGCCCAGTGAGAGGTGCACAGGTAACAAGCACTGCACCATCATGTATGTGTTAATGACTATTATAAAAGGTTTGAGGCTCTGTGTTCTTCTCTTTGTCCTTCCATTATGGCAACAAGGCCCTCATCAGATGTGACCCTTCGGCTTAGATTTCCCAACCTACAGAATCATGAGCCAAATCAATTTCTGTTTATCATAAACTACCTATCTGTGGAATTGTCATAGCAATATAAAACTAAGACACTCCTTGATATGTATTTGTTAAACTGAATTGATTGGATACACTCAATATGGGAGGCAGATTTGATGACAACATAATACAGAAAACATGAAGATTCCATTAGGTTTCAGGCAAGCAACTCTGGTGTAAGGGTTTTTTTTTTTTTTTTTTTTTTTTGGGTCTTTTTCGTTTTTATCGGTACCAGGGATTGAACTCACGACCGCCTGCTTGCAAGGCAGGTGCTTATGCCGCTGAGCTAAATCCCCAGCCCCATGTAAAGGTATTTTTAAAAAATTGAAAATATGACTATGGAGGACAGAGTTGTGCTATAGCTAGAAGGAAAAAGCTTTTGTCTGTCTCTGGGATATCTGAATGAGTGGTTTGACTCAAACCACCAAACTAGGAAAAAGAAAAAAGAAGAAAGAACAACTCAGTATTTACATCCATCTACCCAGATTTACCCACGGTACTTAAACAGATGCTTGAGCCATGTCCCTGAGATATTTTATAGTTGGGAAGAAGGCCTAGCTATCTCCAGGCTCAGATGATGTAATTCACAGCCATAATGAAGAATCACTGACATGCATAGCTCCTTATCACTAAGAAATATAAGAAACTGAGCTACATGGTATATACTATGCGCACCTTAACATCCCCTTTTCTTGCTCTGGTGTGCTACTGGTATCTACACAAAGAGTGTTCTCAAGTTGGATTAAAGTGATCACACATTAAGATTAGTTTTACAAGTTGATATGGTGGAACTAACAAAGACTATTTCAGCTCAGTAGAGTCTTCCACTTTGGCAATTACCTGCTCCACAATAGAAGCCAGACGCCCCAATGCCAGGCCACACTCATCCCCTCGGGTCACCACAGCACTGCCGAGTTTCACGACGATTCTCTTGGCATGTTTTAGCTCACTGCGGTGGGCAAAGGACTTTCCCTGGGCACGACTGAGGGGTACTGTGATAAAGGGGATGTTGCTCCAAGAACGCACATGTCTCATGGCTGAATGCTGGCCACAATCTGTAATTCCCAAAGTCAAATACAAGAAAAATACAATATGATTTCTCTATGAAAAGATACATGTACAATATTAATCAGTTCAGCTGCCAGAAGACAGCTTTATTATTATTATTTTTTTAAGATACAGTCTCGCCGTGTAGCCCAGGCTGACTGCAAACTCATAGCAATACTCCTGCCTCAGGCTCTCAAGTGCTAGTATTGCAGGCAGCTTTATCATTAAATAAGTGAAACCAGTATTATCAAAACTATATTTAGCATGTCCTTATCCTGGTAGTGTATGCAGTTTACCCCTGTTACATAGGTCACATGCACTTAAACACTGCTGAAGAGGACAAATGTCCTGAAAACATGCTTGTAAACAGTATCAAAACCCTATGCTCAGTCTTTAGATGCAGCAATTCCATGTTCAGAAATTTATTCTAGAACAAGTTAGAGATGGAGAAAAGGAAATTTATTGGAAAATTGTTTATAAGAATGTTATTTATGATAGGAAAAATCAGAAGCAGAGCAAATGTCCAGAAGAAAGAAGGAAGATTAACATTAGAATTTTTAATAACAGGAAAATGCCCATGTTAGTTTCATATGTATGTCTAAATGTATTAAAAGACAAATTAAACAAATTGAAATATTAACACATCTCTTGATAAGATTATAGGCAGTTTTTTTTTCTTTCCTGTATTTTCCAAGTTTATGCAGTACATTACAGTGTTTTTGTAGTCAGAAAAATGTATGCTTTTAACAAAACTGTACCATTATAAAAAGAAGGAAAGTCTGGTTACCATAGACATTAAAGAATAAGTTTTTCATAATTTAAAAATCATAATCTTTAAGATTTGAATTTTAATTAATGTTTGTAATATATGATATTTACATTCATTGTGGGGAGTTGGTACACATATGTGACACACCTTAAATTCTTTAACTTTCCCTTGCCCAAAAATCACAATTAGTTCATCTATAGTTTTTCTTTCTGACATGAGAGCATCAATAAAGATGCCTGTAACAATGATAAAAGAAGCCAAAAGGAAAGCTTTTTGAAGGGAAAGCAATAGCAGAGTTAGGTATTTTCTATCTCTTTGGATATCTATTCCCAAGTAATCTTTCTCCGATACTTTTTCCTGCAACTCTGTAAAAGACTTACAAGCAGAAACAATTTAATTAATAAGCTGCAAAGTAAAAGGGTAAAAGAGTAAAAGGGTAAAAATCCAAATATCGAGCAAGGAACTCTACCATTTCTCAGCTCAACTACTACCAGCTGCTTGCCGAAGACCCTTCTCACAAATGAACGGACCCCTGGACATAGCATTACATTTCATAGCTTTTCTTGCTCAGCTACATCAGAGCAGGTGACTTACATTCTGGCTAACAAGTTGTGTGTATCAATGTTTTAAGGGATTTCCTTAACAGAAGACAAGTACTGTCTTCTTTCCTTTTCCATCTTACCTCTTAGTAAACGAGTATAAGGTGACAGCTCAAATATCCATTTTGTACTGTAGCAAAAAATGCCCACTCCTCCATGCCAGAAAGTTTCAGTGTTCAGATTGTTAGTTGCCCAGGTAAAAGCTCTGGTTTACAGTTCCTGTCACTTTTGTTTCTTAGAAACAGCTGGTCACTGTGATAGACAGCTGGTCACTATAATACATATTGTAAGAACCAGTCAAAGACAGCCAAGTACTCTGCATTTGTACTTCCCCTTGCAGACCCCATAAAAACCTTCCTTCCTGAGCTTTCAGGGCCTGACATTTTGAAGGATAATTGATTCCTTGTCAGTGCCCATCCGACATTAAATCTGCCTTCAAATCCTGGATGATGTTTCAGTGTTTCTGTCTGTTGTTGCAGGACCACAAGACAAGATAGGAACTGTGAAAGAGTATGTGGAGCACAAATCCCTGATGACTCCGAAGTGCTGCTCTGCAAGCCCTGGACTGTTTGTCTCCTTGTAGGGCTCCTGGCTTCTTTACAGGAAGAAAGAAGAGAAATTCATTGCTATCCCACTTGAGCCATTGCTACTTATTTCTCATTGCATACTGTAACTGACCAGAAGGAGAGAAAATACATGGCAGATGGGTGGGGGTCCAGGCAGGAGATCAGTAATTTGGGGGTCAGTAAAAACACCTTCCCCTAGTTGGGATTCTCTAAGATCAAGAAGTAAGAAAAGATGAGATGGGTAATTTAGGTTCTCGGCAGGAACAAACTTTAAGCCATTCCTTGCAAAGAACTTCCTATGTATCATTCCAGGCAACTAAAATATTTGACACTAAAATAATTGGTCTAAACCACCATTAATGCTATAATTGTATCATTACAGAGTAACTATCTTCATTTGAACTAGCCATTATCATACCTCCTTTTGTATTTACAAATTTTTCAATTTCTCCACCTCTTATCCCCTGGCCACAAACTTCCCCTACCATAATCTAGCGCCTACTCTCCATTCTCTATGCTGCCACTACGACAGGTAGAGCAGGCAAAAGCTCATTCTCGGGGCTGGGGATTTAGCTCAGCGGCATAAGCACCTGCCTTGCAAGCAGGCAGTCGTGAGTTCAATCCCTGGTACCGATAAAAAGGAAAAAGACAAAAAAAAAAAGTGCGTTCTTTTCCCCTGGCCTCTTTCAGGGTAGAGTTTTTTTTTCCCTCCCTTAAATAATTATGTTTTAAGCTACTATGTTTCAAGTTTCTGGCACTACAAGAAAGATAAACTGACCTTTTGTCTGAGTTACTTGAATGAAATATCTGACACCCAAAGTTAAAGGGGGAAAAGGTTTACTTAAGCTCACAGTTTGTAGAGGTTTGAATCTCTAATGAGCAGGCTTTAAGGTAGGATGGCATGGCAGACAGGATTGGAGAGGAGAAACAGTCCATGGCAGGCAGAAGGTAGCAAAGCAAGCAAACAAGGGACAAGATGAGCCTCTCTTTATCCTTTATACTATATCCAGGCTACCGGGATTAGGGTGATGCAAATCAATCAGTGGACTGATTTAGTAATTGCCCACCTTTAATCCTAGCATTGCACAATAAATCAATCACACTTTACATTTAGTCACCTCTGAAAAAGCCCCATTTATGACTGTCTGGGGCTTTAGTGGGGACATCTAGACACAAACCATAACACCTTTTTTCACACAGGGTGTAGTCTAGCTCCTGGCAACTATCAGTAAAGCATCAACTGAGCTAGAACTGTGGCTTTTGCATCCTTGCTGGAGGCACAAGTGCAGTTTCAGCTGGGGATGTCCCCAAAGGACTTGGTGTGTTGTTGGGCTGCCTATATTCACTATGCTAATCAATATGGGTACCCTGTCTTCAGGGATATCATCTTTAGCAATAAATATACCCAAGGCTAAGCTTAAAAGTTGTACATGACAGTTTGGTCCCAGTTACCTAACAGAGGTAGTAGAGGGACAGACTTTCTCTACTGGGGTTTGGATCTGCGATCATTAGTAGTATTTGTGGAACTCAGAGGAATGTCAAGTTTCACGTACTCCTTTGAAAGCTGTCAGCACTAAGTCTTTTGACCATTTGTCTGTCCTGTCCATTGCAGGGCATGTTCTGACTTGGAAGGGTACGAGCACGGGAAGGCAGCCTGATAGGGCACCTTATGAGCACAGGTGGTGGGCAGTAAATCAGTCCAGGTGATCAAATGGTAGAAACCAATGAGAATCCAACAGCCAAGTCCATATCTACATTAGTAAAGGATGGTATAACAACTAAGTCCCAGGCAGAGAAACATCACGTGGCTGCAGGCAACTGAGTCACAGTACAGTAGAGCTTAGAGGATTCAAAAGCAGGTCACAATTATCAGTAAGGTTTCAAGCAGATAACTCAGTCAAGTCCAGTGCATCTTAGCATCAGGCAAGATTCATGGGACACAGGACATTGGGGGTTTTCTGCTGAACAATGCAGTTTATCTTCAGACTGACATTTGGTACATTTTTTACGTTCTGTAGTACATTATATTTTTAAGGTTTGTACTGAGAACTAAGAAGACCTTAATCAGTTAGGAAAATCCACAGCTTCTGGATGATTCATTTTTTCTTATTTTCTAAGGAACCTTTAGGCACTGAGCCCTGAAAATCTGTTTCCCTAGCAGGCCCAGGGTGCTATCATGGTGTATGTGTGTACTCATGTATGTGGGACACTTTGGATGGGAGGAGGGATGTCCACATTCCTCAGAAGTTGCATGGATAAAAGGCCAAGGGATGAGAAGCCCTTTACTACTTCATCAGAGTCCTCATGTCCAGCAATCAACAAGACTCTTCCAGGCCTCAAAAAGGATCCCTGCCATGACTTCCCCCTCTCTTCTTGGTCTTCCATTGCCTAGGTCTTCCTCACTACACTGTTCAACTTTGTCTTTATTTCTTTTCTGCTGTTCTGGCCATCATTTTGAGTGTACACAAAGCTCTGAACTTCAGAAAAATCTGGATTTAAAGTAATCTAAAATTCTAGAACAGACCAGAACATGCTTACTTCTATAAACAGATTTAAAGAATTACAATGTTGACAATAAAATACTGAAATGAACCTTTACTATATACTAACAGCTGTACTAAGTAGTACTGTATAAGACTATCTTATACATATAGTACAATGATTAAGGCTGTAAAAATGATGGATATAGGTTATGCAGCCATACTAATTAAATTAAAATCTCAATGCCTCCTCTTGTTTCTACCTTACCTATCTCATAAAACTGCTACAGAGAGAAGACAACTTATACATGAACAGGGACTAAAACAAAGTAAACACTTGGTGTTAGCCAGCTTTGCAAAAAAGTGTTAGCTGCTACCATCTTATCAGCTTTCTGAATTATGAGTCAAGCCTTATGAGTATTATTATGATCTCCATTTTATAAATAAGGAACCAGAGGCCCAGATAAATTATTTATCACCATTACCAGATTGAAAAATATGAGCACAACATTCTGCAGATGAAGTTTATTTTCCCAATCTTTGAATGTAGGCTAGCCTTTTGATGTGTTTTGACCAGAACAAGGTAGCACAAAAAACAACATAAATTCTTCGCTTAATCCTTGAGAGGTCTTGCAATGTCCCTGTCTTGCTGTTCTTGGGAGCCCACAAGCACCAAGTGAGAAACCTGTGAACCACCTGCTGGAAGATGGGAGATCACATGGAAGAGAGATGATCTCACATTCCAGCAGGGGCCCCTGTTCAGAGCAATCAGTCCTGAATCAGCCTGAAAGCTGACAAAGACACATAATCACTGTGAGTTCAGCCCAGTCCAAACTGCCAACCCATACAATTGTGACCTTCATAGACAACTGTTGTTTTAAGTCACTAAGTTACTTAATTTATAAGTAGCAGAGCCAGTTTTAAATTTCAGGGAGGCAGGTTTCAGTTTATACTCTAAATCTTTACACTTCTTTTTACATGAATGGGAAACAGATGTATTTCCAGATGATAAGCAAGATTAAGTGATATCAAAGAAATACTTAACTTAAAAAACAGTGTGCCCCAACAAATGATACCAGAACAACTAAATAGCCTTAGGTCAAAAAATAAAGTTTGATCTAAACCTTACACACCTGTTACAAAGATTAATCTCAAATGGATCATGAATTTACACGTAAAATCATGAAAATCATAAAAACTCATTTTTAGAAAAAAATAAAAAATGTATAGGATGTAGAGATATACACAGAATTCTTAAGTTTGATCCTAAATGTACAACTCACAAAAAAAAAAAAAATTTAAAGCTGGGAATGGTAGTCCATATTGATGCCTGTATCTATCAGGCAAGGCCTGATCTCAAGGAAGGATCTCAAGTTCCAGCCCAGCTATAAAATAAAAAGGTCTGATAGTGGAGTTGGGGATTTAGTTCTGTAGTAAAACTCCTGTCCAACAAGAGTGAGACCTTGGATTTGGCACCAAAAAATAAAAAAGAAAGACAAAAAGAAAGAAACAAAGAAAAGACAAAAAGATTTGGGAATGTAGCTCAGTGCAAGGGCCCCAGGTTCAATCCCCAATACCAAACAAACAAAACAAAACAATATAAATTGGCTGTCATCAAAATGAAAGTCTTGCCTCTGTGAAAGATTCTGGTAAGAAAATGAAGAGTCTTAGGGAAGAAATTCAATGTGACTTGGTGTAGAATGTTTCCAAATCATGTATTTGACAAGGACTAGTATCCGTAAGAAAGAATTCTTCAAAATTTCACAGGAGAAAAACATCCAAATTCAGTTAAAAATTAGCAAAACATATGACAGACCCTACACTGAAGATGCATTACATAAACAGCAAATGAGCACATGAAAAGCCGTTAAATGTCATTAGTCATTAGGGAAAGCTTAAAGCCACAATATGGTATCAAACATAAAATGGCTAATATAAAAAAATCATAATATACAGTGCTCATGAAGAAACAGTAAGTGGATCACTCACAGATCGCTGGTGGGAATGCAAAATAGTGATTACCCTGCAAAAACTGGCAGTTTCCTATAAAACACACAACCACCATTGAAAATAACACAACCACCATTGAAAATAACAGTTGAAGTTTTAGGCATTTAATCCAGAGAAATGAAAACTATGTTCACAAAAAATTCTGTAAACAAATGTTCAAAACAGCCTTATTCACAATAGAAATAAAAAAGGTAAAAACTCAGATATCCTTTCCAGATGTCCTTCAGTGGGTGAATGGCTGTACTAACTATGGTGTACCTTTAACAATAAATGCTATTCAGTAACAAAAACAAACCAACTGATACAGCAAGCTCAATGAATATCTAGAACATCACGTTGAGTTTTTTAAAACCCACGTATTGTGTGATCCCATTTATACAACATTCTTAAAATGATAAAATTATTAAAACTTTAGATTAGTTTTGGCCAGGGAACAGGGAATAGTAATTAAAAGAGAGAAACATGAAAAAGCCTATATCATTAAGATATTCTGTATCTTGATGATCTCAATGTCAACAACTTGGTCAAAATGTTGGGTGAAATTGGGTAAAGGACGTAGTGGACGTCTTTGTTTTATTTCAAAATCTGACAACTACTTTTAAAAAATGAGTAAAAAATAGCCTGTACAAACAAACTGTACAACAATCATTGGGAAATAACTATAGGGAACGCTTTAACAAGTACACACACTTGGCACATTTTGTCAGCAGGCACTCTCTTCGCTTTCGTCCAGCTTTGCCAAACTATATTTTTCCCCTTTAAAAACTTACCTGAAACCCACTTGACTATCAAACCTTTCACCTACTCATCAATTGATACATACACAATCTGGAGGCAGCTGTGGACTGGACCCAAGGCAGAAGACGCTGGTTGAAGGGCTGGAATCCAGAGCGGTAAACTTGACTCAACATGGTGAGACGTAGTCACTAATCCGGTATCTGCACAATGTGTTTTTAAAAGTAAATGATGGGGACGGGGATTTAACTCAGCGGTACAAGCACCTGTCTGGCAAGCACAAGGTTGTGAGTTCAATCTGTGGTACCAAAAAAAAAAAGAAAAAGAAAAAGGTAAATGATTTTCTTCCTCCTCTCCAGAATCTCAGACTAAAAAAATCTGACTCTCCCAATCCATGTTAGCATGTTAAATGACTATGAGCATATCCTGTAGAAGATGAGCACATGGATAGAAATCTTAGCTTTTGAGGACATGGTGGTTATGAGCATTTTGCTTTTTCCTTCTCTAGCTTAAACTAGTGGTGGGCATGTCCATTTTGCAGCTCACTGATTTTCTGTGCTGGTGAAGAAGATCTTGTACTACATATAAAACATAAAATAGTGAATGTGTATGTTATAAATTTTCCTTTAAAATTTTTTATTATAACCTAAAAAAAGGGCAAAAACAAAACAAAACAGTGGGCCACAGGTTGAACATACTTGCTTTAGATGAATTGTTTCTTCAAAAAAAAAAGATAGGCAACATCTTCCAACATGTACATGGAAAGGCCATTTATTACTGTAGCTTTTATTATGCTACAGAGACACTGGTGTTTTCTCAAGACAAGAAAAATACTTGCTTTGCTTGAGCAACTAATTTATGTTTTATTTACTGTGGACATATTCCAATTCTCTTCTTAAACATTCCTCAAATATCTAGCAAAGAAGCAAGAAGGAATGGAATATACTGTTTCACAATTTATACTGCAACAAGGTACAGAAATGGGAGAAAGAAGAGATAGACAAGAGTATCTCCTACAAAACATATGGGATCAGGCAGGCAACTCAATATGTGAAGGATGTATTTGCTGGCTTCCATTTTCTGCATAACACTGAAATAGAATACAAGCTCGTGATCTATGTTTGTCATTTATATAAATTCCTTCAATGGTTGTTAAATAATTGGTTACATGCCAATTCTCTAAAACACCTACAGAGAGCCAGAGAGTAAAATAATCCAATAGCAACATTAAACTGTAGTTCTACTTTCTTTATGAAACTTTCCCCCACAACTCAAACCTTTTTGGTTGGATTTAACCTGCAGGTAGCTTTTACCTGATTCATGTGCTACTGTCACTTTTCCCAACTGGTTTATCAACAACTTCCTACCGACAGCATGGTAAAAAGGATAGGGAACCCAGGCTTCAAAGCTGGACTTACTTCGGTTTGAGTTGTACTTCTATGTGCCTTTTGGAGTGTTGCCTAATAATTCTAAGCTTCACTTTCCTCATGTGTAAATCAGGAACAATAACAGAAAAGTCTTCATGAAATTACTGCGAGTGTTAAATAACACACGCAAAGTGCTTGGGCTCAGTAAACATTTTCCTGTTTCTGTCTTTTGGGTACTAATATGGCTTATAATCCCCCCCGCCTTCCAGTACCTGTCATAAGGCGATGAAGTCAATAGAGTTACTGATGGGTCCGATCACACACACTTATACACTGTTTACCTCCTCTTATCTAAGGTAATTGAAAGCTCTGAATGTCTAAGGTCCATTGAGTTAACCCAGAAAACCCCATCTCAGGCCTCTTCCCAGCTCCACTTTTTCTAGAGTGGCGGAAGCTCACTGGAGTTTAAGTCCAATTCCTCACTACTCCAACAGATGGTTCACCCTGCCAGTTTATTATGCTCTCAAGAAGCAGACAGATAGATAATCCTAAGAAGCAAAGGGTGAGGGCGCAGTGTGTGTGTGTGTGTGTGTGTGTGTGTGTGTGTGTGTTAGACTTAATGTCATTAGGTGGGAAGTTTCTGGTTTTGACTCAGGCTTATTCTCAAGTATCTTCTTACATGTTCTGAACAGAAAGCCTTATCCCTGATTTAGACACGGAACAGAACCGCAGTCCCAAAAACATCACCCAGAAACACACGGTTTACTATTCAAACACAAAGACAAAGGCTGGATGATAAACCTCATCATTTTAGGAGGGCAGAGGACAATAAGGAGGGGGCGAGGGTAGGAAACTCCCTTGTACTAGGAAGGCTCACACACCATATAGCACACAGCAATTGGCGGTGGTGAGGGAACTGATCGGCTGCAGAGAGGTTCACAAGTGCCCATCAGGCCACGGAGAACTGCAGACACAGGCCCCTGAGAGTCCTTATGTGTACGTTATAAACCGGATTACTGGTACCGCCGCCGCGACCACCGCAGGTGCACAGGAGGCTGGGTCCGGACTTGGCACAGAAAGCTGCAGTCTTTAAACCTCCTACCTGGTCTTCTGCGGCAAGGGAGGTCGGGGCCTGAAGGCATCTGTAGAGCCTGGCAGTCTGCGCCGTGGCATACGGCACCACGCCGGAGCCCTGCAGCGCGCCGCGGGCCCACTGCAGCAGGGATCTCTAGGCCGCGCCCACACCCGCCGGCCGCGACCCCGGCGCCAGCACCTGCCTCCCGGCGCCCGAGCCGGAGTTCACTCCCGCCTCCCCGCATCGCTTACCTGTCTCGCCTGCGCTCAGCCAGCCACCCTCCCGGCGGCGCTCCACGCCGGGCTGCTGCGGGCGCCCGCTCCGCCTCGGTTTTCTTCCGTCTACGTACCCCACGAGGACGTCACGTCAGCACCGTTGGCGTAAACCCAGGCCGCCAGGCTTACGCTGTTGACGTGGGGCACCCGGAAGGCAGCGAGCTGCGCAGCGCTGTAGGCGTAGGCGCCCTACGAGAATCCCGCCCGCGCTCCACGTGGCGGGGCTCTCTCCAGACTGGAGCCAGCTGGGGAAGGCGGGGCCCGGCGAGCGTCGTTTCCAGCGCATCCCCAAGCAGCCTGGCGAGCATTTCGGGTGGTAGCCTAGCTGTTGGTGGATTTTTAAAGGTGTGCTTGTTGATATTGACCGTTTATAGCCTCGGCTCACCTCAGAAATAGGTGGCGTCAATTTATTACAGCGCCTCCCCCCTCCCAGCCCAGCAAATTTTGGCTGTTTAGGTGGGAAAATCTGGGCACTACCGTCAACTCTTGTCACGGAGCCTTCCCCCGCGATCTCAGCTCAATTGTTTCAGCAAAGTTGTTAGAATATTGCATTTTGAGATAGTGAATGTACTCACTGATTGGAATTATTCCGAAGGCGAATGCAGATCAATTGTTAAAATGGTAGTACAGATTTTTTTTTTTTTTTTTTTTTTTTTTTTTTTTTTTTTTTTTTGGCTGCTTACTGTTTTTCTTGGAGGGCACGTTCTTGCATGGGCACATAGTTTGGGGTGGGCGCAGTACTTGATTGTGAAGAAGGGAAAAAAATTAGGAGACAAGGAAAACTATAATTTTAAAATTGTACTTTTAAGAAAAGTGCACCTTAAGGACACACAGGAAGGGATGGCTTTTCATTTTCCGACATTCTCTTTAATTTCCTTTTTGGGGTACTGTAGTTTTCAATGTAGAGCTCTTTTACTTCCTTTGTCAGAATGACTCCTAGGTACTCCTTTTTTTTTTTTTTTTTAACTATTGTGAAAGGTATTGTTTCCCTAATTTTTCTATTAGTGAGTTTCATGTACAAGAGGGCTATTGATTTTGAATGTTGACTTTGCATTTAGTTATGCTACTGAATTTGCTTATTAAATTTAGAAATTGTTTGGTAGAGGTTTTGCAGTTTTCTATGTAGAGTATCATGTCATTTTGCAAGTAACGGTAGTTTACTTTATTCCTTTTCCTTATGTTGTTCCATTGCTCTAGCTAAATTTTCCAGAACTGTATTGCATAACATTAGTGACAGTGGACATCCCTGTCTTGTTCCTGATTTTAGAGAGAAAGCTTTTAGTTTTTTGCCCATTTAGTATGATGTTGGCTGATTTATCATCGATGCCTTTTATTAGACTGAGATAAAGACCATCTGTTTCAATTTTCTGTAGGATTTTTTTTAATCATGAATGAGCACTGAACTTTGTCAAAAGTTTTTTCTGTGTCTATAGAGAAGACCACACAGTTTGTGTTTTGGCTCTGTTAATATGGTGTATTACATTTATTGATTTATGTATGTTGAACCATCCCTGAATCCCTGATCAGAGATAAATTAATGCATTGGAGAGTAAAAAAAAAACAATACAAAGAATTCATCAATACAAAGTTGGTGATGGTGTATAATCTTATTTATGATTTGCTGTATTCTGTATGCCAGTATCTTACTGAGAATTTCTGCATCTATGTTCATTAAGAAGATTGACCTGTAGTGCTCTTTCTTAACTGGGTCCTTCTCCAGGATAATGCTTGCTTCCAGGAATGAATTTGGGAGTATCGATTCTCTTTCAGTTTTATTAAAGTGTTTGAGAGGTAGTGGTGTTAGGTCTTCTTTAAATCTCTTGTAGAACTCAGCAGTGAATCCAGCAGGGCCTGGGCTTCTCTTTGCTGGTAGGTTTTTAATTACATCTTCAATTTCATTGATTGATATTGGTTTATTTAGGATTCTTATATCTTGATTCAGCAAGATACATTTACATGTATTTGGGAATTTGTCCATTTCTTCTGTATTTTCCAACTTATTTGAATACAGGTTTTCAAAGTAGGCATAGATGATCATCTGGATTTCTGCAGGGTCTGTTATGATTTCAACCTTTATTCCTAATTGCATGCACTTGAGTCTTTTCTCTTTTTTTTTTTTTTTTTGATAAGGATGCATAACGGTTTGTTGATTTTATTTAATCTTTCAAAAAATTGACTCTGATTTATTGATTCTTTGTATTGTTTTCTTAGTCTCCAATGTGTTGATTTCTGCTCTGATCTTTATAATTTCCTGCCTTGTATAAGCTTTTGGCTTAGTCTGCTGTTCTTTTTTAGAAGCTTGAAGTATAAAGTTGTTTATTTGTACCTGCTCTTTTTCCTGATAGGAGTGTCTACTGTTACAAATTTCCTTCATAGGACTGCTTTGATTGTGTTCCATAAGTTCCAGTATGCTACACTGTTATCATTCAAATGTAGAAACTGTTAACTTTCTTCTTTAATTTCCTCCGTGACCCACTGGTTGTTTTGGAGGGGGCTATTTAATTTCCATGTGTTCTTATCCTTTGACTTGGAGTCTTTTTTTTTTTTTTTTCAGATAGAATGTTTCTTTTCCGCAGGATCTTGTTGGATCTTGCTTCTTGATTCATTCTGCCAGTCTGTATCTTTTCATTAGTGAACTGAGGAGACTGATGGTTGTAGCTGATATACATTGACTTATCTTTCTCTTGTTATTTTTCTGTGGCTGGCTCTCCAACTTTTTTACCTTGTGTTTAATTGTTTGCCTTGCTTGGTGAATTTTTTTGTTGGGATTTATGGAGTTGTGGTCTTCATTATCTCTTTCTGATTTGTCCTTCAGAACATTTATTGTGCTCCTTTGGTAGTTATAAATTTCCTTAGCTGTTGTCATGGAAGTATTTTATTTCTCCAAAAAGTTTGATAGTTTGTGGGGTCCATTAATGTGGGTTGGAGACTTTTCTTTTAGGGTTTAAAATACTTCACTTCACGCTCTCCTTGACTTAAAGGGGGTGTGTTGAGAAGTTTGCTATGATTCTGATGTGCTCTCCTTTATAGTCATTTGTTTCTTTTCCCTACCAGCTTTTAAGATTTTATTCTTGTATTGAATTTCTGGAATCTTGACTATATTCCTGACTGTAGTGTTTTTATAATAGCTTACTGGATTTCTGTATGTCTCACTTATTTGTATGTCAACTTCTTTTTCCTTACAAGGGAAGTTTCCTGCTATGACATCTGTGACCAGTATTTTTTTTTTTTTATCATTTGTGCTATCTCCTGCTTTTTCATTGACTCCAGGAAATCTTAAGTAATTCTTCTTTGAATCTTCTAGTGGCTATGTCTCATGGTCCCTTAATATTTTTAAGAATATTTTTTCATGATCACAAACTACAAGTCTGTCTTTTATATCTGAGATCCTGTCCTCATGTTGGCTCAATTTGCAGTGGATACTTCCAATGGAGTTTTTATTATACTACATATGTTTGAATCTGCCTCATGGATTCCATTTTCCCCCTATGTTGGGAATTCAGGGTTCCCATCATTTTCTTAATCTCTATTTTTGTCTGTATCTGCTCTAGATTCACTAACCATGGTTTCATTGTGGTCACCAACTCTGAAGTTATCTGAAAAATTACTTCTGATTTATTTCAGAACCTCATTCAATGGCTTTGTTATTACCACTTCAGAGAGGCTAGATGGTAGGTTTTCAGATTGTTCCATCTCAGTGCCCCTTTGTTTTGTCTTTGGTGAACTAGATGTGTGGGGTTACATATTAAGTTCCCTATTGTTCAAGTATGTGGGTGTAGAGAAGGTACTGTTTTCCTTTACTCTTTACTCTTGAAGTTTCACCTGTTCCTTTTTCACAAATCTCCTTCAACTGTGTTACAAATGATGCCTGACCCCACCCCCCTGTGCTTCTTGCTGGCTAATAAAAATGAGTTGATCGTGGAGGCTGGCAAGCTTATTCCCTAATGGCAAGTCTCTTTCTGGGCCCCTGTACTTTGAAATTTTGTCTGTTTTTCATCCTCATCAGCATCCTTGAAGGGTATCTGAGTTTCTGATCAGCCCCTGGCAAAATCATCTCAAAATTTTAAATTAAGGTGGGGTGTGGGGAAGGCTGAAATAAGGCTCAGTGTGAAGTCCTCCAGGGTACAAACCCTGGTGCCACAAATAAATAAAATGGATAAATAAATAGGTGGACAAAAGGCCTTCACACTGAATAGTAGGAACAGTTCTTTTGGGTGTGGGATGAGAACTTTTAAGCACTCTGGGTTTGAATTGAGTATAAGACACAAAAGAAAACTAGTCCTCCCCAGTTTATATCTTACACCTCAGCTTTTAAGATTTTCACCAAGCATTTAGGAAAAATTGAAGAACTGTAGATGCAGCTAGAGCTAACGGACTGGGCTTTCTCCATGTTGGAAGGCCTGTTCTACTTCTTCTCCTAACCCACACATCATTTTATAGCTGCTTGATTGCTTTCTCTGCTAGAATATACTCTCTCCTTCCCTTCCTCTCTAGGCAGAGAATTATATTCCTGGAACATAGGGGATGCTCAATATTTGATAAGTGAATATATTAATTACTTTTGATTTAGTTTTCAGAAATATAAAACTGGTCTGGGACACAAGGGGCTGGGTTTCATTTTTAGTACTGAAAAGAAAAAAAAAAGAGTGGAAATGAAGGGCAGGAAATTGGATTCATAGCAATATTTTTGTCTGTCTCAAAGTTAGAGAGTACCAAATATGAAAATCCTTAACATTATAAAAAATGTCATTACTGACATTTTAATTATTATTTTACCACTAATCTACTCCAGTAAGGATAAAGGAGTGGGATATGTGACTATGGACTAGTAAAAATCAGATACCAGACATGTGAGCTAGTTTGCCTCTCTGCTGAAGTCAAGGGAGTAATGCAACCATGCTTTTTCCTGCATGTGATTTTTTTAGAAAGTGAATGCTCTTTTAACTGAAGGGATCTAATTTTTATCTTCAGCAAATGGAAACAAGGCTAGACATGACCAGAGTCACAAAGGAAGTGGAATATTTAGTATTGTGCTTTAAGAATACAGAATTGAGGACTCCTCTTTCAGAAGGTATGTTTTGAGTTCCCCTAAGTTTTCTTAGTCTCAAGTTGTTTAATTGGTAGAGAACAGAAACCCATTCCAGCAAGGCGATTTATTGGAAGAATAACTGTTTTCAAGGTCTGAGACTGAAAACAAGAAACTGGGAAGTTAGGAACAATACTATCTTCCACTTTGAAGTCTCTTGTTTATATTCTTTTCACACGTTTTATTTTTCCCCCCTTTAAGTTAACTTTCCACTTAGTGAACATTTAGTATAAAATGAGTTCCTCAACCCTAAAAATTTCTTCCAATTAGTGTCCAATCCTGACTTTTAGTCTCGGTTCAGTGTATCTGAGAGACAACATCTTCCTGGCCTCACATGGTACAGGACTGCATTCTTGTACCGTGGCTGAGGCAGAGAAAGGAAGGTCATACCTGGCATGTAACCTACCCTTTTAGCCGAGTGCTGAGTTATGGGAATGCTTAAAGAATAGATGTATTCATGAATTGGCAGTGATGGGACACTTAGTGAAACCAGTTTCAGCCACAGTATGTAACATACCACTTTATTGCTTTAAAACCAGGCTGCATCTGGTTTTTAAATCAGAAGCACCAAGAAACCCTTTAAAAAAAAATACAGATTTTTAGAATCTTTACTTCCAGCCTCCTCTTCCACCAGTGAATTAGAAGTTCTGGGGGCAGGACCCAGGAATCAGCATTCTTATAAAGACTCATAGCAGACACACTGGGACAGTCATTGTTAGACAGGCCTAGAATGCTAGACACATTGATAGAACAGGAAAGGGATGTGTAAATGCTGAACATTCCTACATACAATAAATAGCTGTTCTTTTTATAGAGTAAATATCTTTTTCTCAAAAGTTTTATTTTCTCTTTTAAAGAGAATAAAATCTAAACAAAACAGAATAAAGAAACAATGAAATCAGAACAATCAGAACAATGAAAGCGAGACACAACTTCAAAATAAGATAATAGGAAATAAACAATGGCTACTGTAATATCTCGTTTTCTTCAAAATACCTATCCACACCATCAGACATAATCAAATCAAGCAAAGCAGAATAAAACCAATTAAAAGAGTGAAAGCATACTTTAGAGAGAATAAAACCAAACAAAACAGAAAAAGCCAATCAAAACAGTGAAAGTGATACAGGATTTTAAACAGGATAACAGGAAATCAATGACTACCATAATGCCTCTTATTATGTTCAAAATTGTTGCCCATACTATCAGACATGATAAACTAAACAAAATAGAACACTGAATACAACAAAAACAAAACAACAAAACTGAGAAAAATGTTGGATTTCAAAACAAGACAGAAGGAAATCCTATACCGCATACCGTTATCTTCTTAACAGATGCCCAGACTACTGGCCTAATTGTTTGACTACTGCAAAGTCAGACAATACAACCATTAAGTTCTTTTGGTACCTTGGATACTATCAACTCAGCCTGTCCTCTGAATCAGCCAGTTGCTTATGGGGTTGGAGAGTGGTTCTTGTATCCATCTGCACACACCAGTTGACTCACAGAAAGGGTGAGCTGGCTTCATGTTACTCCTCCCAGGCCAGCATGGCTTCTTCCAACTAACGAGAAGGGCAAATTGGCTTGTTTCTCTTCCTGGGCCCCACATGGCTTGCATCAGCTCATGGGAATGGCCTATATTCTCTGATTATAAAAATCCTTTTGCATATACTCTTCCAGATTTTGTTTGCCTAAGCAGGTACATATACATACCAATTTATAAAACTGGTATCACATTTCTTATAATTCTAGCACTCAGGAGGCTGAGGTAGGAGGATCACCATGAGTTTGACACTAGCCTGGGATACATAGTGCAAGGCTACTATAAACTACATAGTGAGACCCTATCTCAAATAATAAATAGGATCATAGACAGTATCTGTCACGTTTTATTTTCTACTTTTTTTTTCAGTACCAGGAATCCAACTCACAACCTCGCACTTGCCAGGAAGGCAATGTGCTGCTGAGCCATATCTCCAGCTCCACCTGCTTTGCTTTCTGTTACAATAAAAGCAGTCATGCACTATTTTCAGTGGTTCGTAACCTTCCAATATATAGACGTCTTATTTTTTTTTCCTTTCACAATGTCTAATAACTAGAACTGTTGGATCAAAGTTTATGAACATTTTAAAAAATTTTGATGTATATTACCAGATTGCTACTTCACATTCTCTTTAAGTTGCTGTCAGTTTACATTCCAACTAGAAGTATTTGAGAGTACCTGTTTCTCCACACCTGCAGTGGATTGGTTTCATTTTACCCAAATTTTATATATTTCTTTTCAGTAAAACTTGTTTCTTCAATTGAGTACATGACTTCAACAAAGATTCTTTATACAATAAGTTAAATGGTGGATAATATACATCTGTGGATAAAGGGAGAGAAATAAGACTGCATTATTCTATAGGTGGTCTAAAAAATGTAGAGAAAACTAAGTATATGTCCTAATGTGTACCAGTCTTTCAACTGAATAAGATAATTAGTTTGAAGGTCTGTTGCAGAGAGAGGACTGAGATAAGATAATCATAAAATCTTACTGAAGATATGGTCAACAGCTTGTATTTGAAGAGTGGGCTAATGAGTTAATTAGACAAAGAAGAAAAGTACACTGGGATGTACTTTTTGGAAAAGCAGATTTGCTGACTTGTGTGTAAGATCTCTATGCCACAATTTGTTTGTTTACTTACTTTTTTTTTTTTTTTTTTTGAGACAGGGTTTCACTGTGCAGTTCAAACTGGCCTTGAACTCATTTTGCAGGCCAGGTTGGCCTCAAATTCACAGTGATCCTTCTGCCTTAGCCTCCTAAATGCTGGGATTACAGGCACGTGTCACTATGCCCAGCCTGCAGTTTAAAAAAGCACAATGATCATAATGAGCTATCACTTTATTTTTCTTTTGTTTTTTGAGAAAATGTGTCACTATGTAATTCACGCTGGCCTTGAACTTACTGTGTAGCTCAGGTTGACCTCAAATTCTCTCAGGGATCGTCTTGTCTCAGCCTCCTAAGTGCTGGGATTAGGGGTGTGCATCATCACGATCAGCTGAGACACCACTTACTACCCATTAGAATGGCTAAAATTTAAAAAGACAAATGTAGGACAAGATATAGAGAAGCTGCAACCCTTATACACTGCTGGTGAGATTATAAAGTACTATGGTCACATTCAAAAGTAGTCCTGCAGCTCCTCAGTAAGTTAAACATGAAGTTATTATATGTATGAACAGTTCTCCTGAATACATATCCAAGAAGAATGGAAAAATATCCACACAAAACTTATATAAGGCTGAGGATTTAGCTCAGTGGCGTAAGCGCCTGCCTGGCAAGCGCAAGGTTGTGAGTTTGATACCTGGTACCACAAAAAAAAAAAAAAAAAAAAAAAAAAAAAAAACTTACATAAATGTTCAAATTGTTGATAGTTACCAAAAAGTGAAAACCCAAATCCTCAATTGATAAATGGATAAATAAAATGTGACACATCTATACAATAGAATATTATTCACCATAAAAGGAACAAAGTACTGATACATACAACATGGGTCAAACTTGAAAATATTATGCTAAGTGAAAGAAGCCAGACATAACTACATTTATATGAGATGTCCAGAATAGAAAACTCAGTATAGACAAAGGGTATTAGTGATGGCCAGGGAGTATGGGGGAGAAAGGAATTAGGAAGTGCCCACTAATAAGTATGGGTTTTTTCTTTAATGATGATAGTTATATAATTGAATATACTTGAAAAACTGAACTATATGCTTTAAAAGAATGAGTTTTAAGGTATATACATAAAGGACTGCCAAACTGGAGAATGTACCCAAGTATTTGTTGGGAGAGGTGGCTGTGGTGGTGCCTTAGGGCGGTAGGTTGGATTTTCAGAGGGAGTTTGCTTCTTCCAGCGGACAAGTTCTACCACTACAAGGATCTCTAGGTCTTGCATTTGGCCACTAAGACCTGGGAGCAAGTCAAGGTCTGTGCAGGCAGGCAGTGAGGATGGGTTGGTGCAGCCTCACATTCTCATGGAGGGGGGATGTGAGCATTGCTTTAGGGCTGGTTTACAGCCAGTGAGACTTTGACTTCCAGCTGCTGCTGTCCAATCTGGCCTGGTACTAAAGTGCTGGTATAACAGCCACTGTGGAGAGAGAACTATTGCTAGACATTTTCCTCTGTAATTGTAAAAAAACTAGTCTAAAAGAAAAAGAGCCTGTCCTGAGCCCACATCCTGAGAAACCACAAGTAAAGGAGTAGATGTAAAAGGTCATGGCAGAGCAGAACCCCAAAAGGAGAGGCAGCTCATCCCTGAGAGCACTCATGGGCAGAAATTTCCTCACAGTGATGGCAGATTTGCAAGCAAGTAAACACTACTAACAGCCTCCTTGGTGCTTGGTCCTGAGCTGGGAACTGTGCATACAGAGCCAAAGAAACCATCGTCCTAATATCCTAGAGTTCTCAGATGGGCTACAGCACCTGTCTCAGAGTAGTGACTGGCAACCTCTCAGAATATTACCAGGTTGGCTAATGTTTACGGTACCTAATGTCTGAGAATGCAACAGCCACATCAGTAGCTCTTACTATGTTCCTATTAGCTGGAGAAATGACAAGTTGCTGAATGTACCTCTTCTGGCACTGATGTCATTACAGCAGGATCCCTGAGCTGATCATCTGATCCAATGGCTGAAATGAGTATCATAGAAATGGCACTCTCAGCTAGAAGACAGCAAAAACAGTTCTGAGACCTAAAGCAACTTTTCTTACACCAAAAGCTACTCTTTACTCCCTGGGCAATGAGTGGCAGGAATACAACTATGTAAATGTCAAAGACAACAACAATTCTGTGCTGAAGGAAGAGGCTGGAGCCTTAGAAGTAGGGAGCAGGCCCACAAACTGTCACTGGTGGAACAGCTAAAGAATGAGAACAGGAATACAAGCGAAGGAATGAGAACTGTGCGAGCTAACAGCAGCTCTCACCAGCAGCTACTGGTGAGAGATATGTCATTTCTCCTCAAGAATCATCTCAAGGACTTCCTCACTGGTGGTCACATAACACCATCCAGGACAATGCCTCCAGCAGCATCTAGCTGATGGGTGCAGGCTGGCAGAGCACTTTGTCAGTACCTCAACCCAGAAAACCTGGAAGACCAAAATGGAAAACAACAATCCAGCACAGAGGGACTATACCAGGAAAATAAACAAGGCATCTTGCAGGATGGCTTGCAGGATGGTATGAAGGCTGCAGGACTTGAAACCTGACACCCAGCAGCCTCCCAGCACCACTGCTATTCTACAGAATGATCACAATGTCTCCTCTCCTACAGCTGCAGGTAAAACTCAAGATGATCAGAAACAGGAAGAGGAAAATCCCATGGTGCCCAGGGAGCTGCATGAGAGGCAGTGACTGAAGTGCTGCAGGACTCACTGAATGCAGTGTTTAATATTTTCCAGGTGCTAGGACTTGTCTGACTCCTTTGATGTTTCCCAAAAGTCCAGCCTCGCCATATCTATAGGAGTACATGGTTTGCTCTACTTTGAATGAAGCCCAAAATAACAGGGATTTGTGGGGTTTTCTTTTTTCTTTTTTTTTTTTTTTTTTTTTTTTTTTTTGTCTTTTTCCTTTTTATCGGTACCAGGGATCGAACTCAGGACTGCCTGCTTGCAAGGCAGGTGCTTTATGCCGCTGAGCTAAATACTCAGCCCCCAGGGATTACTTGATGAAATTAGGACAGAAATTCCAGGAATGAAGAGATGTCATCTTTTCCCTCCACCTGAATCTCAAGGACCTCCTGACAGACACTAAAGGCAGAGCTGTGAAAAACTGGCACAAGCTGGTCAAGCACTTTACCCTCAAGTTCAGCCCAGAAAACCATGGTAATGAGATGAAGAGGAACAAGATTCCTCTTCAAGATTCCTCAACTAAATTTCAGTCTGACTATGAGCCACCGAAGAGAAACCTGAAGCACCTCTTTGAGAGTTAAACAGGGGAACAGTTCTGGTCACAATGACACGACCCCCTTACAAGAACTTCTTAGAAGGACTGCCTGAAGTGAGCTCTACTCTGGATGGGGCCAGAACTCAAAATGATCAGAAACAAGAGAAGGACGACCAGGGAGCTCCAAGAGATGCAGAGAATAAAGAAAGTGATGAAGGATTCATGGTAACAAAGGGTTTTGGCTTTTTCTGTTACCAGGATTTATCTGATTCCTCTACACCTCTCAACAGTCTAGCCTCCCTATGGGAGAAGCATGCAGGTCCCTCTAGAAAAGGCCAAATTAATACGCTTGCAAAGATGAAGCCAGAAGCCAGAAGAACACCAGGGATTTCAATTTTGGAATTCAATTTGAGGCTCTAGAGATTATGAACTTAACACATAAATTTCAGAAATGGTGCCCAGGGAGGCACATCATTACACATTATCTTATTTTTCCATCTCAAAAACCTGCTTACCCGAAATGACCCTGAAAGATACCAGGAGCTGAGACACTCAGAATAACTGGCTGAGTGCCACAATCTCACCTTCAAACTCAGTGTCTTACTCATCCTCAAACTCAGCCTGAAAAACTTTAGCCATAAGAATGATGAAGAACAAAAAGCACTGGATTCTAGGTCCAAAGTACTGCTGTTTGAAGTACTGCTGATAGAAGAAGACTGCATCACAAGGAGTAGCTTTTTCACTTGATAAAGAAGATACACACCGGGCTGGGGATTTAGCTCAGCGGCATAAGCGCCTGCCTTGCAAGCAGGCAGTCGTGAGTTTGATCCCTGGTACCGATAAAAAGGAAAAAGACCAAAAAAATAATAAAGATACACACCAGCAAACCAAGTTAAAGCCCATGCAGAACGTAAGAGACATCCTTCTTGAGCCTCAGATTCACAACCACAAACAGCTTGATGATTTTTACTCCTAAAGGCCAGTGTTATAACAATCATAGTCCCTCTGCTTCTAAATGTGATGAATACCTCAAAAGACCAAGGTGTAATCTAGTTTGTCCATCACTGATTCCTTGGTATGGGGACTGGTCACTTGATAAAGGAAGTATCCACATCATTAGTTCAAGGAATAAATACACTGTGTTCTCTATCGATGTTAAGCATTTTGGAGAGTAGTACTTTCAAAACAGATAAATATCTTTTTTTCTAATGATCTTCCTTGAATTATCTTACCATTTATTTATATCCCTATTTCTGCAAATTATTACACATTGAACTCTGGCAATTGTTTAATTTAGCACTTCCTATTTTTTAAAAAAAAGAACAGAATGGTCTTATAGCTGTTGGGCATGGAAATAAGGATCTGAATAAAAGAGTACAGGGGCCGTAGTCCACTGAAAAGGACTCACAGTACATTCTGACTGGATTGTGTCTGCTGCCCCGTAAACTAGGTTGAGTTGTCATACACAGTTATTTTCTATTAAAACAAACCCGGAGAACTTAAAATATTCTAAAAGCCTTGTGGTCAGTTTTGCCACCCACAAATCCCCCTGGAGGCAGAGCTGCTCAGTTAAGTATCTGTGTAACAGATGCTGGTACAGACAGCACCTTTACCTTCGCAGCTACCAGCTTCCCTGTGTGGAATCACCCGCGTGAGAAGCACTTCCTGCAGCTTTGAGGTTACTGCCACAAGTACTTTACTTCTTCCAGAGGAACTCATTAGTGTACAGGGACTTTGAAATCTAGCAAGAAAATAAGCCAGCCAAGGACAGTGTTTATAATTAGCAGTTTTTGTTCATGAAGTATACTGCCTTAACATGCCTTGTTAGATGACAATTTTAGTGTCAGTGTATTGATACACTTGGAGAAAAAAATATGAACTGTTCCCAGTCCTCATTACCTGCCTTTCAAGTCCCCATATAATGAATTCCCATCTTCTCTGTTTTGTCCCGTGTTTCTACTATAGTCACTTCAGTTCCCCAATCTGCTAGCCTGGAACCCCTGGGTCTTCTTTCAAGTTGTTCTAGACTCCTGGGATCACCTACTCCCTCCCACTCCCAGGCCTACCCATGCTGCCTTGTTGGCTCCACTCTCAACTCCTCCTCAAAGCTTGCTCCTAAGTAGTCTAGGCTACAGTGAACATCTGCTTCTTTAACAGATGTGATCCTGTGTTAAGTGTCTGCCTTCACCCACAAAAACTGCCAGGTCATGAAAGAGTTGTAACTTACACTCCCATGTTTCACTAGAGTTCTATTATATCCTAGTTTTTTTTAATATTTAGTTCCATACACAAGGAATTTATGGTTTAAAATAAACTTAATGATAAACCTTCTACCAACATTTTTCTTCAGTTTTAAGGATAGCATGAATCTTTATATGCTCCCTGTTTTCCAAGTTTTCTATTATAATTCTCAACCAATTCCTCTACTCAAAAACAGTAATAGACAATTACCCTTTCAAGCCATTTTCTTTGGATGCTAGAATTTCTCAGTTGGCTATGCCCTTCATAAGTTACCACTGCCTTGCACTTAAAAAAGGCAGATTTCATGCTGAACCCTGATGTCACTAACATAAAACCGGGGACTCTGGAGTGTCCTCCAGAAGAATCTATGTCTTTTTACCTAAATGCTACTATGCTGTTTATAATTTTTTGTTTGTGTGTGGTACTGGGTACTGAACTCAAGAGCTTTCACACTGAATTGCATGCCCAGCCCCTTTTATATTTTGAGACAGGGCCACACTAAGTCACTAAGTTGCCCATGGTGGACCTGAACCTGTTTTCCTACTGCATCAGTGTCCCAGAGTGCTGTGCAACCATGCCTAGTTCATTTTTTTTTTTTTTAATCTCACAAACATAGGAAAAACAAAGACAAAAAACTGAGGCATATCACAGGGCTGTTAAATTTTGCCTTGGTCTGGACAGAGTATTACAAAACTGCCAGTGTTTTCCTTCTCCTCACAATGAAGAAAGAAGAAATGAATGGTAAGGTTGTTTGCTAACAGAAAGAAGAGCAGGCATTCCACATTCATTGTGCAAACCAAATGGAAAGGATTACTTTCCAACTCCTGCCTGGACAATGTGGCCCTACCTTGGCAGAGAAGCTAGACAAAATACACAGCCAGCAGTTTTCTGGCCTCAATAGTCAGCTCCTCTGGACTCCAGAGGACAGTCACTCCTTAGTTCACTCTGGGCGAGTGTGGTAGCATGTTATTCATGCTAGGCCTGACAGTGCCTGCAAGCAGTAGATTTTCTGGCAAACCTTTATGCTCAGGCAAAATAGAACCGGAGGGGCTAGAGAAAGGGTCTTTGCCTCCTTAGCTTGAGAAGATAACCTAATGTGTACTTACTGGCCTGCAGAGCCCTAAGCGGATAGCTATTATAGATGAAATATTGTTATCTTTCCTTCTTTCATTCCTTTTTATTAAGGATAAGGTCTTGCCATATAATCCTGGATGACTTTGAACTCTCAATCCCCTATTTCAACCTCCTGAGTTCTGGAATTATAGGCAATTGCCAACAGCCCCAACTCTTTACTGCTATCCTAAAATACCTTCTTTCATGTACAAATATTCCTTTGATTAGATTATATTTTCCTAAATGCTCTCCTTTGGTCATGAGCAAATACAGACTGATCTATGTAGTCAAGATATAAATTGGCATGCTCAGAGCTTCCCATAAGGAAAACTTAAATCTTACTCTGTTTCTTCACTTAGTCTCTAGGTTTAGAACTCCAAGCAATAAGAGGCACAGGATGAAGATGAGAGAAGGTGAGCCTTTTTGAGAGACTATCCCTTTGTTGAATGCTACTTTGAAAGGAAAGAAGAAGTCAAATGGCAATTTCCAGTCCATTTTGGGTTGCCCTCTTGGAGGATCTGGCTTCTGTGTAATATCCACGAAGTTTATAAGAGTTGTCAAAGGTACTTCTGTTCCTTCTTGGGAAACCTATCGGAAGAAAATCAGTGAGGTTATTGCTTGATACCCATTCATGTAGGCCTCCAAGTTGGCTTTATTACTTTTCCTGAAGAAAGAATGAAACATTGCTTTAAGGAAAACACCCCTCTTCCCCTTTGGTCCTATGAGTTTTCTTTCTATGAGAAATAAGAAAATGAATTTCTTGGCAATAGTGCATGACAGAACTGTGAAAATTTAGGTACCTCAGTTCACATACTTGATTTGTTCCATTTTATGATTCTGGTTGTAAACTGAGTTGGAAAAGAACTGAATCAAATCCAGTGGCTAAGTTCAGAGTTGACCTTATGTGGAAATTCATTTTGGTTCTAGTCCAGTTTGGTTTGTGATCAGAATTGTAGAGAGAATTGAGTTCATGAAGCAAAGTACTACTGTACATACCTAAAGACTGACTTGGTTGCACCCAACTGGGGGGCTTTCTGATACCAGTGAGGCAGGAGGGCAAAACTGCTACTGTTACGTGCTTAGGAGCTGTATTCTATTAGGCCTTAGAAGCCTGCAGGTCCTGAAGCAACACACATGTAAAGTGTGGAAGCAGTAAAGTAAGGTGAAATTTCATGGAAAAAGCAAAAGAACTCAGTAATGTGGACTTAAACAGAAACCAAACCAAACCAGGTTCATAAGACTTCCAGGGTTAGAAAGGATCCTCCCAATAACTCACCATTTCAAGTAAAATAAAACAGATGTTCCCAAGAGAAAGGACCTTGTCAAGCTAATGCAAATACCTAATTTAATAGACATGGTTTTTGGATATGACTCCATTGATGATGTCAAACAGTGGAATCATATTTCTGTTCCTATGCTTATCAGGCGAACGTTGACCGGAGTACAAAATTGTCCCTCGGAACTTGGAATAAAGATTTTCTCCATTCACTTTCTACCATTCTGATGCACATGTTGTCTGTTGTGGTCTTTGAACATAGTAAAGACTAAGCTCTGCTAATGTAATTTTGTCGCGAATAACCTTTGCAGAGGTTGCATTTGCTTATTTTTTATTTTTAAAACAGTGTATAGCCAGTGCAGGATAATCTTACATGCCACATTAATTCTTTTGATTTTTCTTTATGACCAGTGAAGCTCATAAGTGACTTGGCATAGAACAAATATTTTGAGATTCAGAGCCATATACAACCAAGGATAGCCAGCCAAAACTAACGTTGCAGAGAAAACCCTGATTCTAGCCAGGCATCAAAAACTCACAGAGACTAACCAGACAAAGAAAATTAGGAGTTTTATAAGCAATGAATTTTAGTAGGCTTTAATTTACAAAAGGATTTATTGTTAGGACTCTTAATTTTTCCTCAGGAATTTTATAGTGAAAAAATCTAATTTTTAAAGCAAATCTGATATTAGTGAAGTATATTAACAGTGTTATTTAAACAATTCCTGGTACACTATACAAGGTAGGATAGAAATACTTTGGGATCAAGTTAGAACAGGAAATGGATTTTCAGTTTTAGGTGCAGTGTTGCCTAGGTAGTCACTTAATTAATGTGCTATTCTGACTCTGGGGAGCAACTCCAAGAAGCTGTTGGAGTTGGGGTACTGGCCTCATGATGGAAGAGTACAGTAGTATTGCATAAGGAAACCCACTGCCAAATAGCCAAGCCATATCCACCTATCTAGTGCTTGTTAGTAACATAACTAATATATTGATCTCAATTTGCTTAATTCTTTTTAAAATTTTCCAAAAAAATTGAATTGAGGAATCGAGGGCAGGAATATTGCAAAGTCAAGCCTTGCCTGGACAGCTCAGTGATGTAGCAAGACCCTGTCTGAAGATAAATAAAAAGGGTTAAGGATGCAGCTCAGTGTGAGGGGGGTGGTTTCAATCTCTAGTACCAAAAAACATTTTTTTAATTAGCACATAATAGTTGCACAGATTAGTAATAGTCCCCCCAAAAAACACAGAGAGAAAATGCGGAAAATTATTAAGCATGTAATAATAAATATTGCAGAACTGAGTTCTAAGAATAAAGAAAACCCACAAATTATCAGTGTCATGAATGAAGAAAAGACTTCATATTATGGAAATATAAGACTACTAGAAGAAATAAAAAGCAGAGTTTTTTCTTTGTCATATGGGGATTGAATTCAGTGCTTTCACACTAAGCTACAACCCCAACTCCTTTTTTATTTTTTATTTTGAGGCAGGGTCTCACTACTTTGCCCAGGATGGGCTTAAACTTGTGATCCTCCCTTATTTTCCCAGTCTAAAAAAGCATACTTTTTGGAACTGTAACATTTGAATGAGAAGAATGTCTTCAAAATCTTGTGTGAAAATAGTTTTCAATCTAGAATTTTATACCTAGCCAAATGATAGGTTACACATGATGATGAGATGGTTGAATAAAGTTATTTTTAGATGCATGAACTAAAGAAAAAAATACTTTATTTACACCTTTTATAAAGATCATTACAATTTGAGGTCCACCAAAACAAGATAGTAAAACAAACATAGTGTCCAATAACAGTAAGTCTTACACAAGTAAGAAGTAAGAATTCCCAAGATGACTGTTGAGTTCTATGACAAATGTTGGGTAGTAACTAGTTATGGAGGTCTCTATGAAGATACATCGGAAAAAGTGGAATTGATAGATTATATGGTAAGTTCAACTGTTTGAAAATTGCACTGAGAGACATTTACACAGGTGTTGGAGAGTGTGAAATGTCTTAGCCATTCGACTAAAGAAAACTAGGAATGAAAAAGGAGTTAATTATTAATATTAGGAAATATGTGTTAATACAAATATTAGGAAAGATAAAAGGTTGCATAAATATTGAGCTACCTATCTCAGCATGAATGTTTACACAGTCATAAAAATGAAAGACTAGATATTAGTTTAATAAAGTATTTTGATGTAGGAGAATGATGGGGTTGGGTAGAAGAATAACAAAGCTCAGTTCATAAGAGTACAAAGTGAATACATTATCCCTGAAACTGATCATGCAACAGGTATGTCTATATGGTGCTAGAAATCAAGGTAAATACCAGAATAAGCAGCTAAAAGATAAATGGGCAGAGTAATTTATGAAAAGCAGGATGGTGAGGGAGTTTATGAAACTTTAATTTACCAGAGATTTGCTTGTCTGGTTTTTTTGGTTTTGTTTTTTGGACTTGTAAGGAAAATGAGCTTTCATATTCCTACAATCTTAAGTCACTGGTAAAGCTCATCTCAGGATGGATACTCACAGGTACTTTGTAGGCAATGCAAAACTAAAAATGAATAAAACTCAAGTATATCCACCAAAAATGGTAGAAGAGGCGGCAAAAAAATTCATGGCTTAATGCAAAAGCAAAATTACTTTGGGGGATAGTCAATAGGGTATCACATACAAGATACGAAAGAACTGCATGAAATATACAAAATGAAAACATCCATTATCTGTCATCCCTGACTCTTTTTCTACCTCCATATCCAAGCATTTATGTACCATTTGTGGCACCCTAAATCTCCTGAGTGGCATCTACTCAGAGCCCTCAGTCCTGGGTGGAGGCAGGTCTCAGCACCTGCAGTTAATTTCTACAGCTGTGTTCTGACTTCCCACAGTACTGCCTCCCAATATCCAGGGATGATACCTAGCTTGTTCACTGCTCTAACTCCAGGCATGGTTTTTGATAGAGATGAAGCACTCAAGCAAGTTTTGCAAGTTGGGTGTGATGATGCACGCCTGTAATTTTAGCTCTGGTGAAGCTGAGGCAAGAGGATCACCATGAGTATGAAGCCAGCCTGGGCTACTTAGTGACTTCAAGGCCAGCCTGAACTGCTTAGTGAGACCATGTCTCAAAAAAACAAAACAACAAGTAAGAAAATATAAAGCAATACAATATAAAGTAACAAATGATAAATCATCACAAGACAAAAACTCTCAGAGCTACTTAAGATTCAGATCTGATACTTTACACTTTCTACTGTAGTATAAGGAGGATCCCTGAAGACTATGCTTAATTCACGCATTTATTAATAAGTATTTTAAATGAGATGGGTTCATTTTATTCCTAATTAAATACTTATTCTTCACTTAAAATTTCTTTGGCTGGAAAGGGTAAGAAGGTAATAGAGGGAATGGGTAATAGATATCACATACAATATGATAGAATAAATAACATGATATTCACAGTAATTATAGTTAATGATTTACTGTGTATTTTGAGAAAGGAGAGAGGATTTTCAGTGTTTTCAACGCAACAAAAATGTTTGAGTTGACAGAAATGCTATTTTGATTTGACCATTATACACTATGTACTTGTGCTGAAATCTCACTTTGTACCACATAATTATGTACAGTTAAGCTGAGTATGGTAACACATGCCTATAATTTCACAACTCTGGGAGAGAGAGGCAGGAAGATTGCAAGTTTAAGCTCAGTTTGAGAAATTAGTAACTTAGCAAGATCCTGCTCAAAATTTTAAAAATGGGCTGGGAATGTAGCTTAGCATAAAGGTTCTGGATTCAATTCCAAGCACTGATAAAAAAAAAAAAAACCTACAATTATTATGGGTCAATTAAAATTAAAAATAAATTGACACCAGAATTGTGAGAAGGTCTGGGCCAAACACCAGCCCACTGTATATTATCCAATTAAAAGGCAGTGAAACGCACTTAATGGGTCACTGGAAATACTGTTACTAACCTGCTTTAGTTTTAGTACTACACACAGAACAAAGCTTTTGAGTTAAGTTCAGTTTGTTATATTTGAATTTTAAAGTTTTCCATTTGAAATTATGTATAGACAAAATTAAAAGAATTCACTGTTCAGTGTGTAAGCACTACAAAAATAGCTCCCTCTAAGTCTGTCTCATTTCTTTTATCAGGACAGACAGAAGGACACAGTCAAGTCAGCCTTTTTTTTTATACTAGTTCTACTGCATATGGCTGACTTAATTTATGTTTACTTTAAGCTATAACATTTTATGTTATTTCAAAAATTACCACCAACAATTGTTTTATCACTTTCAAATTTGTGGGGTT